TCTCTCTCTCTCTCTCTCTCTCTCTAGATAACAAGTACTTAAGTGAAAAGCAGTAGGTTTGTTAAAAATTAGAGCCTTTTGTTCCTGTGACATGTACCATGTTCCTTATTTACGCACTGTTTCTAACTCTATAATATCTCCATTGTGTTTTTGGATTGGCTGTTTGATTGCCCAACCCGTGAGAACACCACCTTTCTCTCTCTCTCTCTCTCTCTCTCTCTCTCTCTCTCTCTCTCTCTCTCTATATATATATATATATATATATATATGATCATAACTACACCTCAATAATCAAATGTCAACAAACGAAGGCAAACTGAAAAAGTACACCCCAATGGCACATAACTACAACTTGCTCAAGAACAAGAAAATAAGTTGAAAGAATGATTTTTTTTTTTTTTCAAAGGTAAGTTGTGAAGACGATTTCAGGATCTTGATTATAGAATATAACACTGGAAACATTTTATTTCAGAATATTACAGTAAAATTTTTATTGGTTAAGTAATACCTTCATAAATTAATCAATTAAGGTCTTGAACTATATTAATCTTGGGTAAATGTTGAGGAGGAGATAGTTGCTTCTACATCTCTAGGGAACAACTCATGCTTGAGTGATGGAAATGAGAGGAATTGTGCCTATCTTTTAAAATGGGACCAAACATGTTCATGTGATCAAGGGATTCAAAGTAATTTGTTCACTCCATTGTGATGGATTGGATGAATCATCGTTTCAAGTGTTTAGGGATTGGAAGGAATGATCACTCAAAGTCATCTATCCCATCTCGGAGATTGGAAAATGATTCCTTGGTGATGATATTGACAAAAAAAAGAGTTACAACAGTACTTGTAATCTTTTTGATGGACATAAATAATATGTTAACAAGTGATATTGGTTGTCCCAATTATGTGAATAGAATTCAACTCATATCCATTTCAATATCCAAAAGGTTCCAAGTCAATTACAAAATTCATGATGGATATGCATATGATGGTTTTTATAGCCAAGACAATTACAAAGTTAAAAATTAATTATGTTATGCAAATAAATGTGTGCATAAATGCAAACAATTTAATCTCATATAAGAGAACTATATCAATAAAAACATAAATGATGATCAAGAATGGACACACAAGCATCATTTGTTTTTTTGTTCTTCACAAGCTTTGAACTAAGAAACACACAGAGAAACGAATATCACAATCTCTTAAACAAAATTCAAATATATAAATGGCAATCAACAGTCGACATGACATGCGAGCATCATTTTTTTCTTTCACAAGCTTTAGACTAAGAAACGGATACAGGAACGAATAACACGATCGAATCAAACACCAAATTACCACAGTTTTTGTCTGATGGGTAGTTGACAGGAACAGAAGGCTGCATTGATAAGCTTTCAGTACTTGCTCAACAAACCATGAACAACAAATAAAACATCTGACAGAAAAATAAATCCTGATTGTCCAGTTTTAAGTAATATATCATACACGACAAATAAGATACTAATATAATCCTAACCCCATAATGGAGAATTTTTTAAGTCACATATGGCAGAAATATATCAGATTCCTCCTTTTTATCAATATTAACTGACCAAATCAACCATCATAAGAATGAAGCTAAAGAAAAATCATGGCAGATATACAAAGAATCCTTAAATTCACCTTGGTCAATTAAAGCCTAATGATGACCAGAAGATTTCATGATAGCCAGTAATTTACTGATAACAAATCATTTTCAAATAGGCCATTATACAAAGGGAACTTAAAAAATCAATTTAAAATGTCCTATAAACAAATTACCTGATGATCAAACATTTACACAAAAGTGCACGAGATTGTTGATGTCAATAACTGAACAAGGAGCAGCAAAACATGCTCTTGATTGAGCTCTGGAGTTCATACATCTGGAAAATCTCCAAACTGCCAGTGTAGGGTAAGCTGAAATTTATAACAAATGATGACGGGAAAGATTGCCCTAATGGTTGGTACTTGGAAAGAACATTTTATTGTACAAATGTCTCAGTACATCCGTCAGGTTCCTCGTTTAATAAACTAAGATCTCTTTATTACTACTATTAACAATAAACTGAAATTTCATTTTCTCAACCAGCAGTTATCTAGTGGTGTATTCTTGGAGGCAAATCATCCCCCATTTCTCTGAAGAAAACAACACATGGAACAGAATGGAAGAGCGAGAAGGTTTTTTGGACACTTCATTATGTACATAAGCAACATTAGGAGACCATATCAATTGGCTCCACTTGCTACGAAGAGTTCTGGGGCTCTTCACGTGAATCCTGCACAGCAAGAGGAACAACAATTAGCTGTAATGTGAAATTTGATGATATGCCACCACATAACATAAAATAGGCACTCTATTAAGTAACTTTATTTTGAGATGGTAATAGTTTAAGGAAACAAGTGGATTCCATAACTTACCATAAGATCTCTAATATCCACAAGAATATATATTTTTTTATTTTACACCACAAGCATATACTTTTTGAATTGAAAATTTAGCTTCAAAACCAACCGTACTGTGTTACTATCCATGTTGACCCATACTGCATCCTTGCATATCTATGAAAACTTGATTATTCTTCAATGAGAATGCTGTACATCTAATACATAGGTGAGGTTTACTAAAGCATAGACTTCTCTCCCTGTACCTAGCTATAGCCCACCTGGTGATGGAAAGGTTGCCTTAGTCCTCTTTCACTTCCAACCTTTGATAACAGGAAACGGGAGGAGGGTAGGATAACATTTCAGTTAAAGCCAAGGCCACCACAAAAAAAAAAAGAACATATATATATACATAAGAAGGATAAAAAAGAAAAAAGAATAGCATACCTCCTTCTGATTCACCTTCTTAAGTGGGTAGAAAATACATAAGCTTAAATTTGGCTCAAGTGCAAGATGGATCCCTAAGTAGAATGTTTACTCATACCTTTTCATACCCAAGTAATAAAGTCACTTTTAATTTATGTAATCAGACATCTGGACGGATTGTTATGTGCCCAAGAAAAATCAACCAATCCAGTTTAAGAAATAGCCTAAATTCTGAAACAGAAATACCATCATCTAGTCGTGGCATGCAAATTAACTAGACAAACCAGAAAACCAAACTGACCAAGACATTCATTTTGGTTTAATTTGTTATTTTGATGATTTAGTAGATTTAAAAAAGTTGAACAAAACCAATGATTCACTTTGCAGTTAAAAGAATTCCTAAACCTAAATGAGCCAACAATCATATAATAAATGTATAGCCACATCAGTAAAATACAACAACATACATTATTATGATATATATCGTTGGTAATGTTATTCATCCATATATCAAATATATATTTAACAATCATGTATTAAATATATTTACATAATATTGTAATTATATGCAGGGAAGACTACCTAAACCTCCTCAGATTTATATTGAAACTATAATTACATCATTATAGTTTCAAAATATACCCGACATTCTTAAGATCTAATGTAATCAAAATTACACTTGCATCATGCACCCAGCTTGATAAATTTTCTTCATATTTTCAAAGAATGCAAAGCAATTTGGAATTAGAAGGATGCAGCTGTCTTTTCAGCATGCACACACACACATATATATGGAATTCTAATTATGTACAAGGTAAACTACAAAAACTCCTTAGACTTCAAATTATATCCTCTTGCAACCTAGTTAGTTTCTGAAGTTACACTTGCATCCTCCTGATACACCCAGATTGATCAACTTCCATTATACTTTCAGGGATGTAAGAGTATATTTTCAAATTAGAAAGGAAACAAATGTAGTTTTGGCATAAATCTGCATGAATGTTTGTTAGTGACCTTTATATTTAGCACATCATTTATAAAATATATTTGAAATTGTATAAAAAACTTAACTAAACCATTCAACTTTGGTTTAATATTTTACAGATATTTCCTACGGTACAGTTTTAGTTTCTGGAAACAGAACAAATTTGACTTAATTTAGAATTTACCTACAGATGAGACAAACAGAATCAAATTTTGCACACCTGTAGAATCCAGCATCTTCAAATCCAAGCCAAGGGAAGAAGATCAAGAATTGCTGTTCCATGTCACAGTATGATTCTAACCTTACAAGTTGGCACACACAATATTGACCGGCATGGGCCAAAAATTGGCTTAGCCATATGAAGGCCCCTGTGGCACAGATTGATATGCAATATACTAATACCTTTGTGGCATGATAGATTTTAACTCATGCAAACATGTAACAATCTGCACAATGGCCCTTATAAATGATCATATGTGCTATATACTAAAGTCTAACATATAAATTATAAAAAAACTTATTAAAGAAAAAGATATTATCATCTTACTATACTAATAATCCTCTCAGGACAATTAACTTAAGTAAAGCTGCCTGTGCTTTTTATGTAAGATAGGTAAAAAAATTCTTTGTTTTGTCCTTAACATTTGAAATTCTGATGATAATGATCCAGTTGAGTAAAAGTCACAATATAGTTAAACAATGACAATGAATAATGTAAAACAAAAGCTCCAATCAGGTGCTAAATTACTCAGAGATTTGGAAAAAAAGTGACTTTTTTAGAATGACGGCCGTGACATTTGAAAAAATTCTGTTATTTGTAAGCATGGTGACCACAAGCAATGAAAGTCACATAATATTTTCAGAATTCTGCTATTTAGGATCCTTTGACAGTAGGCAATTCTTTTTCCATATTGAAGATGAGCAGATATAAGACTAGAAACGTGGCCTTTGAAGGGAAGTTTAAAATATCTTTTCTAACTGTTTCGGTTCTTGGGTTGTTCAATTATGAAAAACATCTCAGACATCTTTGAAACTGGAAAGCTAGAAGACCATGAACTTTCCAATTTTAAATGTCACAACTTGGCAGGAAAAAATTGGTAGAAGATTGCAGGCTTGGAATTACATTTTACCAATGGGCATCTCGTAGATCTGTCTCCCGGTGGAATCCTGTATGGAATCAGATTGAATTTATCTTAAACTACTTAATTGAAAGGAAATTTCTAAGCAAAATCAGCTAGAGGATGATCCATTAGCCGACTACTTGAGAAATGTGCAAAGCTTCCAAAGAAGCATACAGAGGGTAGATAAATAAGTCCTGAACACAACACAAATGTATGATGAGGATTTTCAATCTAGATTATTGCTTGATTATCTCCACATAGTCATATTTTTTACATCCAAAACTTTTTAGTAAAATGTGTTTCAATAAACAAGAAAATGAATCTGTCATGACAAAATTCTGAAAGTAATTCAACAAGCCACATCTTAAAATAGTAACACGCAACAAGCAATCAAAATAATTATCCAAACTTTTAGAATCGACATGCTAACCAAAAATAAAAACAGTTAGGAAAATGATATTTTCTGCTGTGACAAACTTCTTGTTACCTTTAGCTTTCTAGTTTGTTACTGTATCTGAAGTTTTCATGCTACCCAATATTCATCGATGTATGAGTTGCTGAAGCATCTGCAGTTGTCCTTTGACTATTAGGATGATCCGATGACTTAACATCTGTTGAATTTGATTTTCGACCATTAGATGGTATAGAAAAGCTGCGAACCATAACACCAGGAGGTTCTGGAAGTGGTGTGGCTATGCATGATGAAATTGGTACTTGTTTGCTTGTTGCATTTACCCCTTGACCTCTAGGCACCAGAGGGGCTGAATGGCCAATTAAATTGAAAGATCCTAAATGTTTTCGACAACCTATTGGAGGCCTCGGAAGCTCATGAAGCTCATTTATTCTGGGCGATGTTACAGGAGGAGGTACAGATAGCTTAGGTGTGGTAATGCTTGTTGGTTTTGCTGGGACTCCCGCCAGATGTTCCACTGATGACATGGAATTGTTTGTAAAAGAAGCTGGTTTGCTTGGTAATGGTTTACTTGTCAACGGACCAGAAAAAACTTGTCTGCCAATCTTCTTTGAATCAGATGTATTTGATGTAATCAACTGAGACATCCCCCCTTCGGTACATGCAGAAGGCATTCTGATGGGGCTACCAACAGTTTTGCTCTCTTTAAATACTGACTGCTTAATAGGTAAACTGGTGGGGCTTGGCAGCTCAACATCTCTGTAATTGTTGCCAAGAAAATTTGGTTGTAATGGAGATGAATGCCATAATTGTGTTGGACATACACCCTTGTTTTCCACCCCAGAAGCAGAAATCGAATTAGTTGGACCTGTTGAGGTCGAGCTCTTAACATTAACTGGAGTAGGAAGAGCATACGTGTAAAACCTCTCTGTTGATAAAGGCTGCATCTGACTAGTCGTTTCAGATGATTTAGGGTTCCTATCAGAAAAAAGAGGTGCTGACAGACTGACAGCCCTAACATCCTTGTTGAAAGGAGAGGAATCTGATTCACATCTATCTACATCATCCTAAACAACAAAGATAAACATGCCGATAATTAATAACAAGATAAACATGCTGATTCAAGTACAATGAAGGCAGTTTGCAGTTTGATCTACAATAATAAGTAATAACAAGATCTGCTAGATAAGAGCAAATTATACAAATATATAGGAAATACTAATGCTATTTCAGATTATAGAAGTTTTCAGTCTGCTTAAAAATTAATAACAATAGTTATCACTTATCAATATCAAACTACTTGGATCCCTACAGACATTTGGCAAGAAGCATAATTTATATAGTGTCAGTAAGGTATTAAAAACTAGATGTACAGATTCAAAACTCTTCCTTTCTCCTTTCTCTCACACGTGCTTTCTCTCCCCCTTCCCACCATGCTGTCATTGCCTTGTCTGCTGCATTGACATTGCCTCCTCAAGGGTCATTGTTCTCTCCTCCTACTGATATGCCTCATCCTAGTCTGCCTCCTCCACACACACACACACACACAAACCCCCGGCGGTAAGATAATTGCTATCAGCATCAGGTAAAGATTTTAAACCTTGGTGTGCACCAGATTGCTATGTCAATCAGCATAGTTGTAAAACATATCATGCCAAAGAGGTATCAGCATTCCATGTGTCAGACCATGTCAAAAAGTAGATATATGTCTGCGTCAATTTTCAATTTATGTTGGCCAGGATAGGAACACACCGACTAGTATTGTGCCTTGCCAAAAAGGCATCAGTACCCTTAGTGATATATCTACTTTTTTTGATGTGCCTTGCCAGGATAGGAACACAATCCTTGATGTGCACCCAAGAAAACACAGCACTGACCAAGCAATTCAGAAGATTTTTGGTCGTAGCAAGTGATACTCATCATAAATTTCTAGGCCTTTTGTCTTGCTGTAAGTCGATGTCCTGAACCGCAATTTAATAAAATGAAGACACTTTGGCGGAATAAATTCCTGAAGGTGGGTTCCGAAAAGACCATACTTCTTTGAACTTGGCTTTAGCTTGGGAGCTTCAAGCGCCAAACTAAAGTTTAGGGAAGTCAAACTATCTTTGAGTGTGCATGAGTTGTTTTATTAGACCAACACAAAATAGTTTCGTTGTTCTAGCACAAGTAAAACCCAAAATCTCTCTTATGGCTCAAACATGATGAGGATCCCTCATTATGTTTCAGCAAACAATATTTCTTCACTCTTCGTTGGTGGATTACAAGGGGAAAAGAGAAAAATACAAAAACCAGCTTCAAGGAGGCCACTGTGGCACTTCAGCATAACTGACCGTAAGAGAAATTGGTAATGACCTACAGCCCATTTATCCAGGATTTAACTGCCATCAGTAATCTGATCAACACACTACTCCCTCTCCTCTTCCTACCCAATGTTGCCCTTCCTCTTGTCTTCTCTTACTGTCTAATCTCTCTTATTCCTTTACACTCTCTTTCCCTTCTCCAACTCCATTTCTCTCTCCCTTTTCCCCTTGTCTTTCTCCTATCTCATCCCCCTCTTTAGTCCTCCCTCCTGCTTTTGTGAAATCTACACCAATAGTTGGGCTGATGGACCTGATTCCTCTTGACTGGCCAACTAAAAAAACTAGCCCGATCCAACCCTTCTGTCTGTCAGGCTCTGGATAAGGACCTTTAGTTGTAAGTTATATTGATGAAGTTATAGGCAAAGGTGCACAATCTCATGTCAGAGCAACCATTCTGTAACCTTAGCTACTCAACTAGGACCCCACTCAACCAAACTGAAGCAATCTGATAAAAATGCACAAGAACTTCAACCTAGACGGCTAGCTCAGAGTAATAGAAGAAGCATCTTTTGTATTCTCAAGCCAGTTGCTTCAGTACATTGGAGGTTCTAACTATTTGGAGCTTATATTTGAGGTTCTCATAAATCAAAAGAATATGTCAGCTTGTTCAGATAAAGCAATATTCTAAAATCCATTAACATGCAGGATTATTTCAGATGTTTCATTATGTGATCAACAGTACCCCAATCTAATTCCAAATGGACCTTGGTACTAGTGGGAAGATAAAAGAGTCCAGATTCATTAAATGTTATGGACCATAAGAGAATCAAATCTCACATAATTTTGTGCTCCAATGCATTCAGCGCACTATGATAAGAACAAATGCCCTATATTCTCAACACTGCCCATTATGTTGCATGCTAATTTTTTCCATTTCTGATACAGCTTTGTAATCCAAACAATAATTTCCATGAGCCAATCTGATGTAATATTCTCCTTTGATATGAACAAAATGTTGTAACTTAAATATGTTCTTTCAAGCAGAAATATGCCATTTTCAAATCCTATCAGTGCAATTCTAGCTGATCTTTGTCACATGCTTGTACCAGTGTGCAAGACCCAATTTGCAGAAGTGAAGGGACTTAAGCAGAAATGATTCATTGCTGATACAAGTAACATTTGTGCTATATTGGCATATGGAAAGATCCTAACATAATGTGAAAATATTTTGCACACTAAGTATACAAAGGCTTTAGACTGAGTAACCAAGCATTTTCTCACCTCCATTGAATTTCTAGAAAAGTAACTAACATCACGATGTTGGTCATGCTGTTGATAATCAAAACTCAACTCTCCATCATCTCCATTTTCAACAGAATGATCGACCTCATATCCTTCCAATTGATTATCCTCAAGTCCATTCAATTGATAGTCAATGTGCTGCTGTTCAGCTACAATTTTGATATGTGGCTCAACAACTTCAAGAGATTTAACTCCTTTATGAAAGAAGTTTAACTGATTCAACAAAGAGAACATATACAATCAATTCTTCTAGTTATGATTATTATAGCACTTGAAATTTGAAAACTACCTGTGATGCATTGTGCCTAGCAGCTAGTGTCAAGATACTCCGGGATTGTCCTTGCTTTAATGATTTCAAGCGACAGAGGAAAAGAGTTGCTTCCTCTTCATAATCTTCTTTAGCTGCCTGCAACTGCTGCAGAGAAAATGTGTCACCTTTGGCATTTTTCAACCTTCCTTTTCCACTTTGTGCTGCCAACATGTATACGTCTCTGGAGAAAAACAAAACAGAACAAAGAATAAATTACTTCATTAAAAAAGCTATTCACATGGACCACCCTGAAAACTTCAAGGGCAATTCAGTCAACCTGAATAACAGAACCTTTTTTTCCATTAGAAGAAAAATAAACGCAACACTAAGATCACACCTTTTATCATCACACTGGCGTTTCATTTCCTGCATTGGTGAATATCCCAATTAGAAGTTCACTATCATTCCTCAAAGGTACATATGTTTTGTTTTTTTCTAAATGCTGCAGAAAAGAATAAACTAACTAGTGGACAGAATCACAGGCTTTTATAAAATTATACAGAATAAAATAAAAGCCTTGAAAGATAAGACACACATCCCAGATGCCCCAGTAGAATTGTTAGTACAAATAAAGCAAAGAGAAGATAAAAATATAAGGCTAGTTCACTTAGTCAATGAAATGTCCAAACGTCACTCTAGATTTAGGAAAAAAAATGCTAAAACTAACTCAACACTATACTGAACAAGAGAAAAATGTAAAAGCTAAATGAGACAAGTATTTTGACTTCAATAGCAAATTGATACAAATAAATTTTGATAATAAAGCTTTTAGTCAAGAAGTTTAGCAAAGTTGAAGCCACTGTAGAAATCACATAAACTTCAATAGCAGATTGATAGATGATGAGATCCCATAACCAGAGATGTAGTATAATTTTTTCTTTTTCAGATGCATCAAAATTTAGCTGTAATTAATTGCATAAATTCAAGCTGTAAGCTCCAGAAAAATTTTAACCTTAGCCAAGAACTGTAGTTGAACAAATGGAGATGTGGGTCTGGGAATTTGAATCTATGTAAGCAAAAAGAAGGTTGAAAAGCAAAACCCAAAAGAAAGGAGTACTCAATCCAACTAGTCTATTGGGATGTCCTCTCATAACTAAAAAGATAGCAAATGATAGATTCACCATTGAGAGCATTAATCCCAAAAGGAGTAAAATTGACCAACAGTCTTTTGACCCAACACTACCAACGACCAGTCCTGCTCTATTGGAGGAGCCAGCCCCAGACAAGAGTCATTGTCAACGCCAAATCATTAAAAACTATTGTATTCAGTATTAACTAATGCATCAAACTGTGGTACACATTGAGCATGAGGACAAAGTATATCACATCAGACAATCATAGAATTTCACCGTGATGTACTATTATCTCTTAACACAAACCTTCTCCTGCTTCTCATTAAAGCAACCAGTTTCCACCATATTTCTAATGATAGTATATGTGTTTTCTTTTCTAGTAGACTTCCTGCATTTTAGCTTCTCCTATTCTTCTACTTTCCATTATATGCTTCCATAACATAAGGTTCAGTCCCCTTGAATGGAATTCAGAGTCTTCATTGTTGAACCAATATAACCATGAGGTTCAATCACCTTGGATTGGACTCCCATAACATGAGTCTTGGTTGTTGACTCAAGAATTGCAAAGTAGAAAAGTACAAAGTAGCAGTTTAACATGCCCCACTTTCTGTTTTTCAACTCTCATTTTAAAATATCATTGCGCACTTCGCTCAGCCAGTTAGGTTAAAATATAGCACATGATTATTAACAACAAATCTGCCAGTTCTGCAAATTGAGAATTTTACACACCTGAATTAACATTTACTTAACAAAAGATTCCCATCATTTAAAGCATTAACGATGCCAGCATAGCATGCTGGCTAACCTCCTTAGTAGTTGTACAAACTCAGGGGCTTGAAGATGCACTTTCATCATGGATCAAGAGCTTTATCAGTATAATGTGAGTATGAATAAAGGACATCCCCACGAAGGGGAACATTGAGAAAACATAGGAAACCCAAAGTATAAGTGATGGCTTTTCTTGATGGACCACCTCAACAGGAAAAGAGCAACTAAAGGCATTCCTTCAACCATAGTATACTTTGAATGAGCCTATATCTCTCTAGTATTTTGAAGAGATATTGAGCAGTTAACCTACAGAATATAACTATCCAAAAACTAGTACTTTATTAATTATCAAAAACAAAAAGTTAGATCCAAGATTACAAACCTCTACAGTTTGAAGGTCCTTGAGAAGAGATTCTGATGGAGTTGTGATAGTCTGAACAACATGGACACGCTGAGAATGAAACAGATAGAATTTATTGTATTATGTTTGAATCTGCAAACACTTCAAAATAAAGTTGGTATAAAGTAAAACAATTTGGACTCACATAGGTATTAACGAGTTTCTGAAGTTCAAGCTGTGCCTTTCCAAGCATCAACAAAAGCTTACCTGCATGCATTTAATGAAATGCAATCCATAATATGCAATGTAAGTAAGCAATTGAGTTAATAAAACACATATTCAACAAGTAGTTGGTACAGTAATCTGTAAATTTTTTATTAAATATAAAATAGACTTGGTTTAAATCTGGAATCTAGTTGCGAACCAGAAAAGCCATTTGAATAGCAAAGACAAGTATGGTTCATCTCACAGTGGAGATATTATATACCAAGAAGGTTAGGAAGCGCTTGAAAACCTGCCAAGGTGCCCGAGCAATTGATTTGGTTTGGGCAAGCACCTTTAAATTGCATGCAGTCCAGCCACACGCTTGAGCTCAAGCGTCAAGAAATTCAGGCGACCGCTTGAACTAGATCAGGTTGTGGATCGTTGATCCTAGTTCAGTTGAACTAAATCAGCTTGATGCCAAGCCCTAACCCTAACCTTCCCTCTGCCCTGATGTGACTCCTCTTTCTCCTATGAAAAACCTAATACAAGCAACTTGATCAGCAATACTTTTCAATTCATGTGCAAAAATCGCCCTTCAACAATAAAGGATCGCCATCCGTGAGCAAGGCAACCCTCCGATGATGCCTTTCCTCTCTCTCTCTCTCTCTCTCCCCCCCCTCTCTAAGCCTCCCAATAGGCCCCCTCTCCATCCCTCTCACTCTTGCCCCTCAAAAGCTTCACTCCTAACCGACAGCCCCCCTCCCATTGTCTTGTCTCCTTCTCTTGGACCTTGCCTTTTTATCCTTCTCCTCCACCGTTGCCACCTACCAAACCTCCATAGACCCCAACAACCCCCCTCTCCATCCTCCTCGTTAGCTGCCCTTCCAACCAACAATTCCCCCCTCTTCTCTTTCTCTCTCTACTTCCCCCTCTCCTTCCCTCTTGTTTTCCCCTCTCTCCTCCTTCGCCATCGCCCCCCACCAATCCTCTCTAATAACCCCCCTCCCCCTCCCTCCTACTCCTCATCGATAGCTCCCCTCCTAAGTCCCAACTGGCAATGCTCCAACCCCCTCCCCTCACCCCCCCTTTTGTCTGCTCTCTCTGCCTATTCCTCCCTCTCCTTCCCTCCCATAAGGCCCCCTCCTACTCCACATCCTCCTCCCGAACAGATCCCTCCCAAATCCTAATCGACAACCTCTTGCCTTCCCTTGCTTGTCTCTCATCTTCTTCCATGCAACACGTCTTGCTTCTTCCCTTGCTTCTCTCCCCACCTTCTCTATTTCGTTCTCTTTTTTAATGCTAATTAGCATTAACGATAGTTAATTTTTGTTCATATAGCCTATGAATTATTTGAAAGATCGAATATATCATTGCTAGTGTTTGGTACTTTAAATCAAGGATTGTTGTGCCGCTTGAAACAGGCAGTACGTACTGATCCAAGCATGGGCCGATACGTGGACCTCTTTTCAGGTGGCCTAGTGCAATGTAGTAAAAATAATAAAAAATCAAAAATAGCAATGGGGCCTGTCCAACTCAACATTAAAAAAAATCCTAAAATAGAAATTAGGGCTCACAAACGTGCGCCCTCTTCTCGTGTTCAACATTGCTACCATCACTACTGTCATTGCTTCACTGTCATGTTCCTTCTTCCTAGGTACGCTCCCACCTCTTCTCTTCTTCTTTCTCCTCCGCTTTGTCTTCTTCCTTCTTCCTTCCTCCTTTATTCTTTCACCACGCCTTCCTCTTCTCCCTCTTTTTCTTTCTCTCTAAAACACCGATACTAATCAGTATGTACCGGTCTGACAAAACACTAAAATGGGTCTAGTACCCAAAACGACGATCCTTGCTTTAAATGTAATTTGATGTTTTAATGATAATACTTGGAATATGAAATGATATAGAACTGCCTCAGTTTCATTTTAGTGATCATCTCTTTAATTATATTTGTTTATAATTTTAAAATTTACAAGCATTTTGCTTCCCTCGGGCGAGCGTCTAGTGCCTCGAGCATTTTGGTACTTAGCTTCTTTTAGTATCTATCTTTGATTATCATATTATGTACTAAAATTTTATAATAACATTTAAGATTAAACTTATTTTCAAGATATTTATAATTTATGGGACAAGCAAAAAAAACACTGATACGCTTACCACTTTCTTCATTGTCATCCAGTGCAGTTTTTTCAAGCAGGCAAGTACCCAACTCCTTTAGAGCTTCTGAAAATTCTGCAAAAAAGGGGAAAAAAAGAACTGTATAATACATTTTTGATAAAATAGGATAAAGTACGATAAGAGAAATGATCGAAGTTTTTCATGTGGTTCAAATATAGAAGAATACTCTAAGAATGTGATATAATTTAAATCATGTCAGTCTATGTTAAAAGAGAAGAGTGAGGTAGAAGTAAATCAGACCCAATCAATTGTGGGCTTGATAAGAGCATTTTCCTGCAATAGTAGATAGAAAATCTCTGATATCATAACAAATAGAGAAAAGGATAGTGGGAGAAATTATAAAAAATAGAGAAGAGAGAGAGAGAAAATTCATGAGTACAACTTCAGTAAAGGCTGAGTCACATAAACAAGAAATGGTTAGGTGACAGATGTTTTTAATCTCTGGTTTTCAGATGCAGTATACATGGGGTTGGAGCTAGAAGCATAACAACTGATGGCTGGGGATGCTTGATGCCAGTCAAGCATTGCCTGGTGATTAGTGATCATTAATTGGCAATCATCTATCAAGATTAACTATTAACTGATGATCATCAATAATGAACTAATGATAGCTAATAATCTGCTGATGATGTAATCTATAGGTGGCTGGCAACCAACATTCTTCCAGTAATCATCAGTTTCCCTGATCATCCAACAGTTGGTGATCACATATTGCAGTCCAATCATAGTGAGCATGCATCGACAACCGGCCAACAGCCATAAACCATCACAAGACAATTAGCTTGATGACCACTAATCACCAAGAATCACAATCTTCCAATCATAACAACAACTATTCAGTTATCAATTAGCAGCATCTACCAGTAATCATTTAATGACTAGCGATCAATTAGTCAATTGAACAAGTATAAGAAAATGAATGGTTGAAGTGATTAAGCTACAGTTTCTTTTTATCGCTTTCACAATTTGCCAAACAATAAAACATTAATGTCACATTTTAACAGTGTTGCCTTTAAGAAATGCCATTTTTTGCTGCAACTACTTGGAGACAATCAAACAACCATTAAGTGCAAACCAAACCAAAATATTACTAAATTCCTTCAGAGCAAAATGATAAATATATGAAAACGTATAGAGTACTACCATATGCACTATTTTCAATAGCAGCAGCGGCAGAAAGCAAGCTGTCATAGCAGTTTCTAATGTCATGGATGTCCTGAAAAAGTAAAATACCACATATTGGTAAGTGCACTTACAAAGACTACAGTTAAAGTTATCGTATTCTGAAAAAACAAGCCAGTGTTGTACTTTCTGCAGCAACTACTTCAATCACTATCATGATATCACTTGGCTGTGAAACAAAAATTCATCAAGGCTTTGTCGAACCCTTTTGTTTTTGTTTTTTTTTTTTTGCAAAGGGCAAGTGACGAAAGTGGGATTTAAGCTAGGATCTTGCGCTGACGAAAGTGGGATTTAAGCCAGGATCTTGCGCTGAACTAGACAGCACATTCAATATTTTTACCAACCAAAACACTGTGTAATATCTTTTAGTGTTCTTCTTTACTTCGCTATCCATGATGCAAACACTGATCATCTACCAACCAATGTCTTGGTGAGATTGTTTTAGTTTTTAAAATCAAGGACTAATCACTAACATTTTTCAATGGCTTTTATTTCTGTTTATGCTTTGAAAGATGATCCTCCTTATTAGCAAAATCTCTAATTAAGATAATTGTTCATCCTCATAAAACATTTCCATCAAATATATTGTCACAATCACCTTCTATTTCTAATTCCACTCACTTCCTTCTTCTTAGACAATCTTGGTAACTAACGCAGAACTTCATGAGATGTTGTCAAATGACAAGTTATTACAACTGAAAAACAACTCAAACTGACAAAATTGTCTGAATAAATAAGATAAAATGTCTCCCTGCGTCACGTTAATACTTCGAGCAAGAATTTCTAACAAAAAAGTAAGCAAGCGGATCTGATATAACAATTACATAAAAAAGAACATTTTATAAGTGCTAATAACAAGTACTATGATCCCCATCATTTCTTTATCCATAAACGATATACGCTAACAAGGTCCACAGAAAACCCTAGAAAGAGCGAATTAAACCGGAGGAACATAGAGAAGGTCATAAGAGGAACCTGGGACGCCTTGAGGAGCTCGTCCTGGTGCGCCACCAAGCCTTTCTCCCTTTTCTGCTTCTGCTCGTCCTTGTGGAAGGCGAACCCTCGCAATCTTCTCAGCGATGACTTCATCTCCCCACTCCCTCTCGGCCTTGACTACAAGATCAAGCGCCCCTGGCCAAAACCAAGTCTAAATCCCTAACCGAATTACGCAAGCGTCGACGAAGCAACAAAGAGCCAAAGAGGGGAATTCAATAAACCCTGGAGCAATCCGTACAAAGGCGAAACTGATCTCTCTCTCCCTCGCTCTTTCTCTCTCTCTCTCTCGCTCTCTCTCTCTCTTGCTGTGGTCAGTCAAAGAGATGTATCCAAAGAAAGAAGAGCGTTGCCGAAAAGAGCAGAGAGGAGAAGCGGTCTGGTGGAGCCGGTTCACGAAAACATCGAACCGGTCCAAATGAACCGAAGTGAGGATGACCTCTCCGTTATCCTGTGTTGGATTACATGACAGCGAAGAGGTAAACTTGTCGATGTGGTTAATTTAGACTGGTCAAAATGGCTGACAAAGTCGAAGTGCGGAGACAAACGCCGCTCAGCCGATCGCGGGTGCTTCCCCTGAAGACTTCCCCGTGCACGCATGAGTCGACCCGGGGGCGAGCGGGCCCCACCTGTGAATTCCGAATCAAACGGAATGACGCTTGACCACGGCGGACCACCGGCCAAGTTGATGGCGCTGGCTCTCGAACAGTGGGTGGAGTGGTACACCCGGCTCAATGATGTGGCAATCAAATGTTGACAGATATATATATATATATATATATATATATATATATATATATATATATATTCTCTTAGCGATATCTCGACACATCTTATTATTAGTGAGTTCTGATGTCAATTCGATCTGAAGATATGAATCATGTTTAGTCTCAGAAGCGAAATAATCGTAAATCAACGGGTGAATTGAATTGAAATCATGTTTAGTCTCAGAGGTGAATCGTTTTTATACGTACATAAAAATCTAAGGCTTGTTATTCCTAGCACATGTACAGTATCTTTAACATTTGTTGGCAATTCCTGACAAGTGTTTCCAACTATGAGAATAATACAATTGAAATTGAATTATGATAATCTCAATGAAGCTTATTCATTTCTAAGATGTCACTCTCATTCAACCAGTCAAGCCTTTAAGAGGATTCGACAGAATAATGTGTTTGCTGTTATTAGGCTTTGACTCTCTTTTAACACTAAAATCAAAGTAGGACTAGCATCTAATAAGGTCCGTACTAATCATCAAATGGTGCAAAATCTCTAGGTTGGAAAAGAAGTTCCCTCTAAGTGGATATCACACGGTTTCTGTGTGAAATCTACAAGGCACTCCTGGAAGTGGATTCTTTTTTCACTGTTTAGATCTAACTTTCCAACTCTGCAGTCAATATAAGACCAAGTGATCTTATCAACGAGTTAGAATATAAAAAAGAGCTTTGAAGGATTTGTTGCTATGATACACATGACACACTGTAACAAAGAACATTAAACAAATTACAAGGTAGGTAGTTATTGGTGCATCCCTCCGAACATTTAAGAAACTAAAGCATGCTACATGTCATAAAACCAGCCCCATATCAGCAAGGGTAAGGGCCTTATTGCAAACAGAAATAACAAAAGCAACACAAAATGCTCAATGCACATATGATAGGTACACATAAAACATGGATCTACATGGAATTAAACAAGTTGTAATTCCATATTGCAAGCTCTTAGTAGTAAAAGCAAAAAATACCATCCATAATAGTGCATAAGGAACTTCTGGAGCGTTAGTTAGGAATCGAAGAGAACCTATAGCCAGGAGCACCTCTCCAGGAGTAGTATGCAATCCGGGTCTCATAGAAACCTGCAACAAGATGAAATTTCCAATTCAATATCACGGTGCTATAGACAAGATAGGACCTGCCCTGATACATGATTTTTCAAGTTCTCCATGTCTCATAGGACTTATTAAACGAAGGAAATAACCAAAGAACAAATAATGTACATCACACATTCACAGTGCATTCCAGGACAAGATTAATTGCTTCTATAACTTCATGTACGTAAGTTGATATTTGTGAAAATTAATAGATGGATTCACAGTGCATACCAGGAAGAAATGCAAGTATACCAAGAGTCAAGAGGCCATATGCTTGGGATCGCTCACCCTCCATATGGCCTGTAAAGATGAAGAATGACATAATAATAAGAGCTGACCCAAGAGCAAGAAGAAAAAGAGCAAGGGTAATTGATTTCCATGGAACTCTGTCAAGGGCCTTAGGATTGTAGGCAAAACGAAGATCTTCTTCCTTCAACATTCCATGACCTTCATCCATGTCATCCAATGCAAGTGGAGTGTATTGAACATGGCGCCTTGATGCCATAATGATCGTCCTTCCAGAACACTTCCCTGAACAGCTATCATGGCAAAAAAATATCACAAACAATAATGTTATTATTTGGAGAAAAATAGTCACTTCTTGGAATGATAGAAGTAGTTTTGCAAACATGGAACCTTCTTCGAAAAATAAAATACCAACGATTGAAATATGAAAGAACATGGACAAAACAAAAGCTTCTTTTCTTTTGGCCAACTTAATCACCAAACATATGGATTCAGATACCAGAAGCATATTACTGTATAAAGTATGAAACATATGAACAACAAATGCACCATTTTTCATACTGTAGAAAAAAGGTACTTTAGGACATCATGGCACTAGAATAAACCAGACAACCTTGGCAGATAGGCTTCCCTTAGGTTGCATGGTTAACAAAACCCTTATTAAGGATACCCATCATCAAAACCTTATCTATCGCAAAAAATCATGTATATGCAATTATGCATGACCAAGGTTTTCCTCAGTCAAGTGATCATATATAGAGAGAATAGATCTCTTCTGCTACATATCAGCCTAATTAAGATCCATAACGTCACATAGTTGCTGAAAAAACTCCATAATATGATTCTTCATTTGTTGATCCAGTAGCCATCCTCATAAAAGAGTGATCAACCACCGTTACACCTCTAATTGGGACCATGCAATTTACATATCAAACCAACCATCATTCTGAACATGCATTATTGTAGTTCTCGAATAATTGGAGAGGATCAACTCTTGCATTTCTTTCTGGTATGCACTGTGAATCCATCAATTAATCTTCAAATCTTCATTCGTTACAATATAAATATGAGGAACAAGGTTCAACTATCATTGGACCTAGACATGGATTTTGTCAGAGATTCTAGATACAAATAAATTATATATCCTGCTACTCATCACGATTAGATGATTCTCTTATTAATTTATTATATTTAATCTAGCAAGTGACATAAATATATGCAGCTTGCTCATTTTTTCAATGCTTTTATTTGCAAACTATCACATTGTTATTTTATGTCGTTTATCCTTGTCAATTCTACTTAATTTTGTTGTAGCAAGTGTGATAACATTATGCCGCTTTCACACTGAAATAAACAATTACCACATTAGACATAATAACTGAATAGCATTTTTAATATACAATACCCCCTTTTATGTTTACTTTGTTCTATGTATGATAATCAGAATTCTGAAAATTTAAATTCATGATCTTTTCACATAAACTTTATTCCACCATAATTTACTGTTGCCTACTGACAAATTGGAATTTTATTTCGAGTTTCATCAATTACATGATTACTCAATAATATGAATGTTCAAATCAGGTGTAGCTGCTTGAAGACCAAAAAAATGTTTTCTTAGCACAGAATTTAAATTCTTCCGCTTTTTCATTTTGTGCCCCTAATCGACTGTTGTATTACCTTTAAAGATGCAAGCTACAGAAGAAGAGATAAAAAATTCTCAATTGCATCTCCAACCAACATTCACAATGGTGCCTATCTTCTATAACCATTTCCAATAATCATCAACTCCTGCTCTGTTTCTCTCATCTTTGAAACAAACTCATTTAGTGAAGCAAAATAAACTAACAATAGGAATCGTTATTGATTCATATCATCTGTAGAACTTAATTGACATTGACAATGAAGTCAAATGTACATGTAGCAGTGAATTTGTTATTCAATTTTTATCAACTAAGAAAATTCTACTGTTGTTCAATCAATTGGAGAGGGACGGTAACCCATGAGAAGAACTAGAACATGCTTTTTATGTGGACCTTTAACAATTATACAAGTAAATAACCAATCATAAATTTTTTGCCTTATACAATCATTCATGAAATGAGGAAAAAAACAAACAAATTTCTAGTTTGAACCATCAATCATAATAATTTTTTGGATCTCTATGCCTGCAACACTAACTAGTATACTACTCATAGATATACCACCAAAAGTACTGGATATTGCAATTCCTTTTTTCCATGCTTATAATTCAAGCTCATGTAGTCATCCATAAAAAATGTGAAGTACCGAAGCAATCTTATAAGTTGAGAGCTATAATCCTTCAATCAACATGGTAAAATGTCTTCTAAGTTATGTACAAAAGCAATAACGCTGGTAGTTAAAGACAGCATCAATTATCATGGTAAAGTATCTTCTGAATTCCCACTTAGGCAATTCATCAAACACAAACAGCACAAGCAACACACACATCGGACACAAGAACCAATTCTCTCCGATCTAGATTCCCTATCCTTCACGGAACAAACCAAATAAGTCAAATCCAAACCCGAAAGAAAAGGAGGGCCCCTCTTCAATCTAAAGCTAAGAAGGGGCACAACTTTCGAGAACCAGATAGTGGCCAGAATTACAAGATGTAATGGACGAGGCCAAATCAGGCACCCAAAAGATCGATCGAGAGGTAAAGCTAACGATTCAGAAACGGAGAGAAAGGGCAAAGGAGAACCGGGTAGCCTCTCGCGACAAGAAAGAGCGAGCGCGGGGCGAGTCGAGGAAGACACTGAAGAGCGCGGTCTGGCAACCGGGAACGACGGGGGTATTGGGCTGGAGAGATAAAAGCCACAATGACTAAATTGCCCTAATAATTTAATGTCCTAAGCCCGATAAGAGTGAGGGCATATTTGGTATTTTATGGCAAAAAACTATCGCATTTCAAAAAACTTGATTAATATTTGACATCCTCTAAACACCAACAGCTTTTTTGTATTATTGAGATGATAAGAACATTTGGATACTATTCTCATAAAATTTAAATTTTATTTAATTTAAAGTTGAGCGACTTTAATATTTTTTATTTGATTTAAGCATGCTGGATAGATTAATTGAAATGATAATTATAAATATTAATGGGCGAGGAGTACTTTATCTATTCTTATTTATTTATTATCCTCATCTCATTAGGGTTGGGTTTCTATCGTAACACGTACTCATGAGTATAATTGACATCTCGATATATATTTACTCAAACTAAAATCTAATTTATTTATGTGATATGTAAATATCAACTAATTTTTATCTCATATTAGGAGTGACAATATATATACACAAATCATATGATATGATAGAAAAAGTGATGCAATTAATAAAATGGTTATTAACTAAACTTATTTTTTTTTTAAACACAATGAGAGGAGTTAAACCTATTATCTAAAATACTGTCTAAATTGAGCATTTACTAGCCGAAATTAGACTAATTATCCAATTCAGTTTTTTAATTTTTTAAAATTTAAATTAGGCTGGTATATGCTTCTCCTTCTCCTCGCCATCATCCGTTTGTCCTCCAACTCTTCTTTCACTTCTTCTTTTTCCTTTATTTATGGACGTCGATATTTATATTGACGTACCATGATATATATATATATAACATAGTTTCTATATTTTTTTTCTGTTTTCTTATCATCCTTTTATGGTTATATGAAAATAATCACATAACCTCCAAATCTTGGAAGGCCCTTTTCTCTCCATCTCAGCATGCATATAAGATTGGAATATGGGGATTTCTAGTAATTGGTGATTAGATGATTTCTTACTTGCAACCATATCACAAAAGATCAGAAATGATCATTCACATTTAACGCAAAAATATAAGAACAATGAAGTGAAGAGCTAGTCTAGATGAGCACTGATGTCAGACATCAAGTTTCATTTGGGTTCATGATCTATAATTGCCATCACAAGAGCCTTTTCTTTTAAGTTCAGCTCCTTTTCTGTTGGGACATTGTTGAAGGAGAGTTTGGTTGGCTTTCTACATTAGCATCACCATTTCAACAGAAGATAAATGGGGGCACTTTTCCCAATCCATTTTGAGGTTTGCTTCTCATCTTTTCATACAAAACAGCAAGAAGGACCTTCATGACAACTTGTGCAGGCCATTCTTATTCCCTGATTTCAGCTTATCTAAAACCACAGGACTCTTTCTTGATCTTTTCCTTCTATTTTCCCATTTATGACTTGTTTCCTTCCCAGTGTGAGTAATGGTGGACTCCATATCTTGAGCTCCAACGCTACTCATAGAGCTTCTCACCTTAGAGTGTGAGGCCAGTTGATGTGAAGAGACATTATTTTTTGCTATATACACAGAAGGATCATAGACTCAATTAGGTACCTGTGCCACCAAAAGAAAAGAGAGAGAGAAAGGAGGAGGAGGTAATACCTGAAGAAAAAAAAACAATGGTCAATTTCTTGATTTGTGTCTGTCATCCTTGTACAAAGGTCATACTAATCTTTATATTATTTCAATTTTGTCGGATGTCTATGAAAGAATAAAATAAAAAATAATGATATATGATGACGATGATGCTATGAAGGCACTGCCAATTCTGATGAACACTAAACAATCTAAAACTATGAGTCAAGGTTAACCTTACTGGACCTCATTATCAAATCTGCATTTGTGAGTGTTAATCGGTATGTCCTGAAATTTAAAACAGAATTAAACCTCTCTATCAAGCATAAATATTCACAATGACACCAGGAGACAATATATTAAATCATGATATACTGTGAAGGTCCAATTCAAGCAGTATTACTTGGGCACATGGAGGAGTTCCAAAGCTTTGGAAAGCATTGCAGATACAACTCATGCAGAATAAGCCTTTCTTGTGCCAATGAACAGAGAGATTGATTGCAACAAATAAATAAAACTATACTCCATATGTGCAGTTTTTGATATAACCAGTTTATTGGACAACAAAGCACCAAAAGATTTATATCTAGTGAAAGAAATTACTCTTTGAATACACTTCAAGCATTGTAGCAAACCAAAAGCAACTGAGATTACAACTTATGTCTGACCTCAAGAAATTGTCAAATGGTTCTAACAACAAGAGAATCTGCTTGTAGCTTGTTTTTGGTCATTGGCGCCATCACTAAAAAGTGCAACCCTGTTGATAGAAAGGTCTGCCTTGTAGGAATCTGAATTCAAGACCTTCCTGCTGACATTGTCGTAGATCTCCTTGATCACGATCTCGAAGGCCGTTTTCACATTCGTAGAATCCAAGGCTGATGTCTCAATAAAGAAAAGCCCTTCAGCTTCTGCGAGGCATTTCCCTTCCTCGACCGATACCTCTCTAATATTTGACAAGTCACACTTGTTACCGACCAACATCTTTGCGACAGTTGTGTATGAATGTGCTGCAGTATATTGTCACTAAATTAGATGTTTAAGCACTGAGGAGGAAAAGATAACTGCAATTATATGAGGTAGAGATATTTCTAATTTCTTAAAATATGTTATTATTCCGAGGGTTGTCAGCAGCTATCAGCACTCCTACAATCTGCATGCTCATTCTGTTGGGTGTATGTTTATGAATATATATATATATATATATATATATATATATTCACTAATGTGGGTGTGTGTTTATGAAAGCTCCTAGTGATTATGTCTAATCACCTAATCAACATCAGCTAAGGTTTTTCATTAGCTCGATGCTTTATAAAGCTAGCTGAGATAGGGTTAAGGTTATCAGGTGCCTTTAACAAGTGGAAATATGAAAAGTCATTGCATGATTAAATCAAATTGTATTTATATCCTATTAGCATGAAATCAAACAAAAGAATAGGAAAAGTTAACAACATATACTATTCTATTATATAGCATTTGACCATTTTTGTTTTGTACACTTACTCATGATCATAGTTATTACTAAACTCAAAATAGTTGTACATTGGCAATAGAAACAAGTGAATAGTCTGGGAAGTAACAACAGGATCAATCACTTAATCCTGCTTTTGTTCATGCAAGCCTATGATCTTGAATCAAATTAGACGAAAAAGAGAGAGAAGAAAAACATTGGACCTTTGATGATCCCTTCCTCCTTTTAAGTGATGCCACTATGGTATGCAGATTAAATCAATTATAAAGAAATGTTTTTACAACTGTAGCCTTTTGTTCTCCAAAATCAGAGGATTCAAATTTGAGTTTGCTCGAAGGTGTAGACAATAGAAACATTTGTCTTAGCAATGCAAAGTCTGAGATGACGACAACAAAGATAAAACCTTAAAGCCCCAACTATTTGGGTTGATTATATAAATCCTTTGCTGCCATTGAGCTATGTAAAAAGTTATATTTAAGTTAAAAGTATTTAGATCTTCACTTATAGTTTTTATATTAAAGTTAAAGCCTTTTTGAGTCTCCCTCTTCATCTCTCGTCGTACCACTAAAAGTAATAATTTTACATCTTCTAACTACAATATCTATAATATATAGGTCAAATGTAAATTCCATGAGAACTTCAAAAGTTCTGTGTTGTTCATCAGTAGTACTTGACACCACTATTTTTGAGATATCATCATTTCACTGTCAAGAAAAGAATTAGGCTCGACAGGTTATAGATATTGGTGGTATCCCATTTCCTTGAAGCTACAGTACTTGTATTTGACATCTTCATCACACAATCTATTGGCACCACTGAAGGCCGGAAACCAGAAGAAACCTGAGCCATGGATGGACTCATGGATGTGATGGCAAGTTGTCTTGATCCACATTGCTATTTCACTCATAATGATCTTACCACATTTTATATAATAATAGAATATGAACAATTACGTTAATCGCAGGACTCTGATCACAACAAGCCCTAGCTTTTGTTTTGAATACTAAAACTCACACAACTATGCAGCCTTTCATCACCAAGGACAATTTGCTAAAGTTCTTGGCTTCCAAAACTTATTTTATTTTTACTATAGTTTCTAAACTTTTAGTTGACTTATAACATAGATATATTTGAAAGTTCTAAAATTAAGTCTTTGATTGATTTTGATTCCACCAAACTGATCCAAAACCTCCATCCTGTGAACCTTGTTAGATATATTAATCTGGATTTGGTGTTTCCAGTAGATTCCAGAATGGGAAGAAAGAGCTGGTGGACCTCTAAAAGTAGTTGAAAAAGGAAACTGATTGAAACAAAAGGAGAGAACAAGTTAGTAAAGCAGTTGTGAAATCTCTTCTTTTCACTGCCGACAACTATATGCTCAAGATCATTCTTTCCTGCTCTGTGAAACTAAAAGTCTCTGAGATCTTAATGTTGTGAGCGCAACATATGACATTAGCCTTAGATATTTAGTGCAATGTTTACCAAAGTCAAAGTATGAAGCAAGAAATGTTAACAAATATTTAGAGTCTGGCATGCATGACATAATGAGAGATTTCCATCAAAATTTATGCAAAAGAGTTACCATGGAACATACTCTTTTCTTCTATCAATCTTCATTTCCAGTCCAATCCAAGTAATTGTTACCCAATTACTTTTAGGATTTCTATGACAATATGTCTCACAAACTTGAAATTCTAAAGATTATTGTGCTTAATTAATTTTTCCTCCGAAAATTAATTTTTTTTAATGAGTCCTTATACAAAAAAATGATGATCACAACAAATTTCACCAGATCTGAGTATCTATCATGATAAAAACAACATATCTATGCACAATATAACATCTCCTATATGTGAAATTCTATCAGATCCACAACATAAGTTCATCTAATTTGCTGATACACATGCAGCTCATCTCATTACTCCAATTCCATCCAACATCAACTCATAGAAGAAAGAGGGAACAGATCTAAACACAATGTGTTGCAGATATATTCTGAGTGTCACATCAAAAGGGAAAGTAAGAGAGAGAGAGAGAAAGAGGGGAAGGATTAGGCGTACTATTGAGCTCGTCGAGCCAGCGGGAGACAGAGTCGAAGGTGGAGCGGCGGGAGACGTCGTAGACGACGAGGGCGCCGAAGGCCCCGCGGTAGTAGGCGGAGGTGACGGCGCGGAACCGGTCCTGGCCGGCGGTGTCCCAGATCTGGGCCTTCACCTCCTTGCCGTCGATGTCGACGGTCTGCGTCAGGAACTCCACCCCGATGGTGGCCTTGGAGTGCAGGTTGAACTCGTTCCTCGCGTACCTCGACAGCAGGTTCGACTTCCCCACCGCCGAGTCCCCAGTGATCACCACCTTGAACAGGTACTCTTCCTCCTCCTTCCCTCCTCCCACCACCATTCTCTCTCTCTCTCTCTCTCTCTCTCTTCTTGCTCCTATGAATGAATTGAATGAATGTGACAGTGAATGAGCTTGAATGAATGAAGCAATGAAAGAATGGGAACTCAGGAAGGCAGGAAGGTAGGTAGACGAACACTAGTGAACGTGCCTGCTGTCTTCTACTTTTGCCTGTGTGCCATGCATGTAGTTGACTTTGACTTTTCTTGGCACAAGGTAAAGATTTGAGCTAATAATGAGGCTAATGGTTGCCATGTTGAGCTGTGGAGAGAGCCTTTGTCTCCTCCTTGGATGCGACCACTGAGAGAGAGAGAGAGAGAGAGAGAGAGAGAGAGTAGATTTGATGTCTGAACTTGTTTGACTTTAGGGAGGGTGAAGACTGACACATTGGAGGAGTTTGACCCATTGTTTTGCTGTGATTTATAGAAGTGGGAATCTGCCTAACTCTTGTCATAAGTTCATGAATGCCTTCAACAATATTTCTGGATTTGTTGGACTTTAACAAAAGAATCATGATCAAATTTCAAGTTCTCCTAGTTTCTTAGTTCTGTTCATTGTAGGAAATTTCTAATCAGTAATTGATAGCTAGATTAATCTATAAAAAAAAAATCAAATTATCACAAGATCTTAACATTGAATTCCAAATATTATTCTATTTGTGATAACAAGATATAAAACATTTCATAATAAAATTAATTTTTATTCTCAATCTGATGTCATAAAATTGTTCAAGTGCTATCAGGTCTGAGATTAGCATATGATCTCTAGAGAGGATTTCACTAACTATCATGAAATTAATTTTATATTATTTATTTTTGAAAATATTAAAGTTCTATTTCTCCAGAGAGAATTTTATTACGTACTCATTTCTACGTTATATAAAATACCTTCGACGATTGATTAAGCCGAAAACTGAGGTTTATTATAAACGGAAAAAAAAAGTATAAATGCTCATAATTTAGATTATTAACTTTGAGAATCGTGGCTTCCATTAAGACACTCATGTCTTTCTTTTCATCCTATCTCAATCTGTTCCTAATAATAAGACTTAAATCTTACCTCATCATTTATCATCACAAATTAATGCTCGGCCATCAAAATCCTGATCTGCTGAACGGACGGTGGAGATCTAATTCCCTTGGTAGCTCCCCATGATGCCACAGAGTTTTCTGTGGCCGTCCATGGTGCCACGTGGAAGCAGGATTGAACTCTCTCCCCCCCCCACCAAGCCTTCAATTTATTTGAGCCGTTACTGCCTCTCCTCCTCTCCCTCCCAACGCCACCCATTTCGAGATGTTCGCTGCGGCCGGTGGGCTCTCCCTCGTCCCGCAGCCCTTCGACGGCCCTGCTGCGGCCGCCGTTGCCAAGCACGCGTCGCGGTGCCGTCTCCCTCCCCGGAGGAGGAGTCTCTTCCTCGGGAGAGCCGCCTGCGCCGCGAGGCCCGCCACTTCCGGAGGGAGCGGCGTTGACCAAGAGGAAGCGTCTCGCGAGGAGGCCTCCAGAATCGGCGATGCTGACCCCCGCCAACTCCGGGTACCGTCTTCCTGCTGTTCCATGGTCCAACAATCTTTAAGATCTTTGCCCCTTGTACACTTTCTTGTTGAGGGTTTTACATTAGGCACTGATATTGGAAGCCCTGAATTCCTAATTTCTTAAATGGCCATGTCGTGTTCACACGAGTCGTTTAGTTCTTTGGATTGTGAACCCAAGAATTGTAATACCCTACTTTAGTCTCGTATCAGATGTAGGAGAAGATCTGACCTGGTTTTACATTAGGCACTGATATTGGAAGCCCTGAATTCCTAATTTCTTAAATGGCCATGTCGTGTTCACACGAGTCGTTTAGTTCTTTGGATTGTGAACCCAAGAATTGTAATACCCTACTTTAGTCTCGTATCAGATGTAGGAGAAGATCTGACCTGGTTTATAAGTGCTATCATCAACATGGGCCTAAGTATTTTGGGTCAATGATTGAGACTCAAGTTAATGCATCAATTATCCTAATGGGCTGCAACAAATGATATCATATTTAAGTAGGAAAAGACTACTCGGGACTACCAATTGAGTCTCACATGCATCATGCCAGGGTTGACACCACAAATTTGAAGGCCACCGATTGATTTTTCCAGTATATTCCTTCCTTTAGGAGTCTTTGTTAATCCGTGTATATGAGCATTCTATATTAGTAAGGGCTTAAGCATATTGATGAGATAGACCCAGGTTCCTAGTTTGTTGATTATGATATCTTGTTGGTTGTTTCTTCTTGAATTGATAATCTACCTACAGTCGATAAACCCAAGAGATCTAAGGACCGAGAATTGATATTTGTAGAAAATGTATCCATTTATTTTGCATTGTCCGGTGCCAAAATTGGAATGCTATCTTGATTTTGCCTGAGTCTTTTTTTTGACAAACTCATAATGCAGAGTATCTTCCTGATCATGCAGCCAGGACCTTCCTTTTTATGCTAGTTGATATATGCTGAGCATTCCTGGCGAGATGTTTGGAGAAAAAAATTCCTTGTGTATTTGATAGGTTTCTTTGGAATAGTGAGTATACCTTGTGATATTGCTAAAGGAAACTTGTACTGTTTTTAGTAGATATTGCTTGAGATTATATGTTGCCGCTCATTTATCAATTTTGGTCTATTGTCGTACTTGAACTGGTAAAGTTCAGCATAATTCCTCAAAGATTTGTGGTCATCACATTGATGGTGATGCTGAAATGGACAAGTATAGTTTTAGTCTAATATAAGGTATAATTTTACTCGCCTATAAATGCATGTTTCTACCATTTTTCTAGTTAATATCGCTGACAAACATAATAAAATTTGTGCAATTACGAACTTAACCTGTGGAATAAAATTATAATCTAATTCTTTGTCTCTGTGAAGAAATAGAGGTCTGCTGATTGGAGGGCAGCAAGAGCTTACAAAGATAGTGGCGTGCTCTTTGATGGCAAGATTGAAGCCTTCAATAATGGGGGCCTGCTGATTCGATTTTATTCACTTCTTGGCTTTCTCCCTTACCCTCTTCTTAGTCCATCCCACTCATGTAAAGGTAATATTTTTTCTTCTAGCTGCTATCCAAATCTTGTAAACAGTCTTTATTCCGGACTTTTGTCTAAAGAGATAATATATATCATGCTGATAGTTGTGCATTTCTCATCGATCATCTGTTTCGTGTTATCTGTAGTAGTCATTTAGCATAAACCTAATCCTAATTTCATAGATTCTTTTTCTGCTGTGTTTTGGCTACATTTAGGGTTGCCAATATTTTGTTTTCCTTACACAGTCCATGCCAATTTTATTCCATAGGAATCCTTGAGGTTGTGACTTATGGTGTTGGGTTTTCTTGCAGATCCATCAAGAACCATTCAAGATATAGCAAAAGATCTAGTAGGCTCATCTATTTCTGTAAAGGTATTTTGTTTCTTTTTCCTTCAATATGGTGTGGTTCTTGATAATGATGTGTCTATAAGTGTGGTCTGGCATGCTTCCTTAGAGAAATTTGTTCTGCAGTAAAATTGCAACTGGGGTGTTATGTAAAGTTCTTGCTAACATTATAATCTATATTGGTTGGTGATTGGAGCTTATGATAGCAAAATTATTCTCTATGCCTGAATCATAAATGTTATCTAAAAAGATGATCAGAACAGGAAAAGCATCGAGACAGGCTTTGACTCTCTATTTTGCTGTTAATTGTTAAGATTATACATTGACTTTTCTTTTTTTGCTAACAGTATTTGATGATGAGTTATCAGTTGTTCTTGTGTGATTATACCTTCATTTTCCTTATAACATTGCATAATAAATATAGTTTAACTGCCATGTAACATGAACAACGATGGTAGATATTTGATGCAAGATGACCATTAAATCGATAGTCTTGCAAGGATGTAAAATATTAGAAAGTGAATGACAGGTCTGGGTCTTTTATGAGTAGACTTTGTCCTCATTTAGACTAGAAAAGTCGAATCATGGTCTTAGTGGAAGGTAATTTATTTATTTTATTTTGTATATAGATAATTGAAGCAAATGAGGAGGAAAAAAAGCTCATCTATTCTGAGAAAGATGCCGCGTGGTCAAAATATTCTAGCCAAATTAATGTTGGCAATGTTTTTGATGGAAGAGTGGGTTCCTTAGAAGACTATGGTGCATTTGTTCACCTACGTTTCCCTGATGGTACCTAAACTTTATATTTAGGACTAATACGAGTGTTTTATTTTGTGCTATGATTTCATTTGAACAGCTGATATGCAAAATTTCTTTGTAGGTTATTATCATTTAACTGGACTGGTGCATGTCACTGAGGTTTCCTGGGATTTGGTTCAAGATGTGAGAGATTTTCTACATGAAGGAGATGAAGTCAAGGTCAAAATCATTCAGATAGATAAGTAAGAATTGCTATTCTGTGCTCGATATATCATTCTTTGGTTAAATATTTTGGTATTGAGAGGTTTGACTAGTATCTTTGCTTGACATTTACTACTACACATTCTGATTCACTGCTCATAATTTTTTAAAGAACACAAGTTACAAGCATAACTCTTGGCATAAAGTAGTAGAACAAGAATAACAGAATAAAGGGAATATGATCTGCCCCATATTGATTTGACTATGCTGAGAATTTCCATAGTAGAAGATAGAACCATTGCTTCCTTTTTCTTATGGGGCCAAATGAGCAGACTTTTCATAAATACTGGCATAACATTATGCAGCTTAATTAAAAGAGTGCAATACCAAATCGTTAACACTTACAGAAAGATGAACTACTAAAACAGCATCTGGTCTTGACAATTGACAGCAGCATAAATAATTTGATTGTATGTCAAATGATGATGAACATATTGATATACTCAGAAATTCAGTTTGATAAACCTCCTTCATTGTTTATATAATTTGTAAAATTTTTCCATTCATCATTATTTGCCTTTGTACTATCAATGATAGGGAAACCTGCTTGAGACTTGATAGGTAAATGTGTGTCAATCCTAAGTGGTTGGTGCTTCTTACCGATTCCTCCTTTCCACAAGAGCTGGTGCATATTATCTTGCTTTAGCTTCTTTGCTCCAACAGTTAATTCAATGTGAAGAAGCTGAGGTCTGAACTGGTTATATTGACCAAAATAATTCATTGTTTCTTGATGCTCTAATGAGTAAAGTGCATGTGTAAAAAATGGAAGAGACTACAACTGGTTTCAGCGATGCGGAAAAGCTGCTGTTGATCGGTCATCAGGGAGAACTTTCTAGTCTCAGTTCAACACAGCAGTTCATTTCATTTATACATTTAAAGAGCCTAAAGGCTTCCAATTATGCTTGCATTCTTGTCTTCTAACTGTCTAGAGACTCCAGACATTAGATAAGAAAGTCCAAATGGCAAGATTAGCATATCCATACTCCAACATATACATGTGTTTTCGTACTCCAACAGATGGCAAGAGACTACATTGTTTCCTATAATGCCTTCAAATAGTGTTTCTAGCTATGAGGAAAAGCTGCTGTTGATTGACCAGCTATGGAAGTTTCCTAATGTCAATTTGATGCAACAGTACTAGTTCATTATGACTCTAGACAATAGATTAGAAAGCCCAAACGGCAATATTAGCATATCAAACTTTGACATAGGCATGTTGTATGTTGTTGGCCATTATCTTCTGCTAATTGTGTTGGTCATGGGACAAATGACAATATTAGCATATCAAACTTTGACATAGGCGTGTTGTATGTTGTTGCCCATTATCTTCTGCTAATTGTGTTGGTCATGGTACAAATGGCAATATTAGCATATCAAACTTTGACATAGGCATGTTGTATTTTGTTGCTCATTATCTTCTGCTAATTGTGTTGGTCATGGTATGTGTTCAAGTGTCGGATATGCCACTTAGCTTGGTTCATGTTATGTGAGTGGTAGGATGAGTTTGTTTATTATATTAGCCTGTGGTGCATCATGTCCCCCACTAAGATCACTTATACATTAGATATTATATTCTTATCACGTCTAATTGGGTTGGTCATGGTATGTGTTCACTTGTACATTAGATTTTGTTGCCCATTATCTTCTGCCAATTGTGTTGGTCATGGTATGTGTTCAAGTGTCGGATATGCCACTTAGCTTGGTTCATGTTATGTGAGTGGTAGGATGAGTTTGTTTATTATATTAGCCTGTGGTGCATCATGTCCCCCACTAAGATCACTTATACATTAGATATTGTATTCTTATCACGTCTAATTGGGTCAATAAGAATTGTAAGAAAGCGAAAACCTAAAAGCCTAGAGTGCATGGATACTTTATTTATTATTCAGTACTTCTATTATTTTGAAATTTGAAAATTTCTCTAGGATTTCAAAGGAGAAAATTTTATGGACTTATTTGTCTTTAATGTTTTCTATATTTATCAAAATGAATAAAATTGATGAGATTGTTACCTAAATTTTTGGGTGTTTTTGATCATATACATGTCTATCTACGGTACTAGGTGTTTCACATCAAGACAAAACAGCTTAGATCACAGTTCTACAGGGATCATGGTTCTAGGTGAATAGAGGGATCTTGATTCCTGATAACTGTAATTTATGTTATAGTAGTCCGAAGATTGATATAAAATAATGATCGGATATGTATCTTTTAATCATCATTTATTGGTCTGACCAAGCACCTGTAACAAATCATACACCTTGGCGTAGATTATTCTATTTTTATCATTTTATTCAATGATATTTGGTCGTGCATGTTTGTATATTGTTTGGCATTTCGATATTATATTGGTTGACAAGTGGTAGAAATTGACATATGATCAATATTTATGACCTTGCTCATACATGACTAAAATTGATCAGCACATCCTAGCAAATGTACAACTATTAGCACAAATGTGAACATACTATATGGTCTTGACATATGACATAATGTAGATACATTGACATGACTAATTTACTTTTATGCCTTTATCCACCTAGAACCATATACTTGATGCCCAAAATACATTGAGATAATATTTGATTATTGTATAGCTTATATGTTTTGATTCACATAATTCTTCAAATTCATATATGAAATATTGTAGATATCCATGGTCTCTAAAAGTCTTTATGTAGATGATACAAGTTTCCCAAATGATAATATATACTAAATATTAAAAAATAGATAGAATTGAGGGTGTAGTTAAAGTAGATGGACAAGAAGTTCTTACAGAAGGAAGGTTTTACATAAATTGGATCTGTTATTCAACATGAAGGATTAATGAAATATTACTCATGGAGTAAAACTGAGGTGGTTTTATTGGACAGGGGCTTCTGGATATTTTTTACTGTGACAGTATGCCTTTTGAATTAAACAAATGATTTTATAAAATGATTTATAGATCTGAATGATAATATAGTGGATATGAGAATGTTGATTGGATATGTTGAATTACTGAAAAAGATACAATAAGAAATGATTTCACTAGCAAACAATATGGTGTATCTCTGATAGAGGATAAAGGGTGAACATTCATGATGGTGTGGAGTGTGAACATGCTTGAAGTCGACCTATAGATAACTTGCTTGGAAGTGAAGCAATCAGGATCATTGATGTGAATAGAGATAAAGAGGATTATAAGATAACTTTGCTGGAAATAACAGGAAAGATTCAAAATTTAACTAGGATTATAAGTCCTCAGTGCTCAATGATGAGAAAAGATACATTTGGCTGACACCAAATAGTTGAGACATTACAACGTGATCTTATTTGTATGATGAACATGTTCTAAATGTGTTAAAATTTCCATGTATAGGAAAGTGTTCAACAAATGCTTCTGTTTGACAAGGACATGACAAGCATTTTGAAGCATTGTGGTTCATCGATGCACATAATCGCTTTCACCATTTATTTATGCTGCTGACTTGTCTATGTGGTGCATCAAGAACTAAGTTTTAATGGAAGACAGTTGGTGTAGATATCTGTTTATGGTAGTGCCATCATAATGTATCATGCTAACAAGAAGATTGCTGACAAGCTAAATAGACATGCCTACACCATGAATTGAAAAAAATTTAGAGAGAGAGAGAATGTGTGTGCTTGCCTAAATTTAAACATTCATGTGATCCTGTAAGGCTGTAAATCATAGTGGTACTAGAGGGGTCTTGTTTTTTACCCCAATTTGAATTTTCCTAGATGTTAAACCACATCCATTTTGTAAGCTTGTGTATAATGTATCAACTACACTTTTTCAGAAAGATTAAGCAATAATCGGTACATTTAGGAAAAAGGGTAGAAAAACTAATTACATTGAGTGCTGATTAACCATGGTTGTGGTTCTTGGTGTTCTCAGTCGAAATGTACACATCTATACATATATTTAGCTAAATACATTTTGTGCAGGGCTAATTACAGATTACTCCCTGTATTTAGCTACCTTTAGCGTTCCGATCCTTACACTTTAAAAAGTTGCATTGGTATTCCTATAGTTACGGAAGTGAAGTATTTAGGTCCATTTACCCTAACGACGTCAATTTTATTGACTAAAACATGAAAACAAAGGGAAAAAAGCTAATTTTAATGTTCGATGGTGGACTACATCGGTAGTGGTGAACGATGGCGTCGCTAGCGTCGACGTCGACACAACTGCCTAGTTGGCCTCCGCCAACGATAAGGTCTGCTCTCACCGCGACGCCACCCGCCTCCACGACGAGCGTGCCGCTTGCCTTGAACTACTCAACATTTGTGTCGACGTTGACACAGTTGCTCCGCACTGCTCTGCATTTGCGTCGACGCTGATGCAAATGCCGAGCAACCCTTTCGTCGCTCGACAATTGCATCGATGCTGACGCAGATGCAGAGTGGCGAAAGGGCCGCTCGACGAGAGGTGGTGCCGGAACTTACGCAACAGCGGGGGGAGCGGAAGGAGTTCCGACGATCCCAGCTTCAAGTCGAGGTTGGGATCTATCTAACGGGTCAGCAACAAGGTGGCCACCATCTTCGCCGTAGACGTCGCGACGGCCACCACCATCTGCGTTGACGTCGAGGCAGTTGTCGCTCAGCAACTACCTCAGCCTCGACGCAAATGCAGAGCAGCATAGGGCGTGCGACGATGAGGTCGGCAGCATGCTCCTCATGGAGGCGAGTGGCGTCGCGGTGAGAGCGGACCTTATTATCGTTGGAGGTGGCCAAGCAACTGCGTTGACATCAACGCCCGCAGCATCGCCATCCGCTACCGAACGTTAAAATTACCTTTTTGTATTTTGTTTTCGTGTTTCCGGTGGTAAAATTAACGTTGTTAGGATAAATGAACCTAGATGTTTTACTTTCATAATTATAGGAATGCCAATGCAACTTTTTAAAATGTTGGGATTACAACACTATAGGTAGCTAACTACAAGGGGTAATCTTTAATTAGTCCTTTTGTGCATGCTAGTATATGCGGCATGTACTTATCAGTCCATTGTATTTTATCTGCTTTATAAATTTTCTATGTCATTTTAAGTGAAATCAGAATTCTTGGAAATATTAGTCTCATGGTCAATTTCATACTTGTCAATGACAAACTACATTCGTTATTTGTTCATGTGAACTGGCAGCTAGAATTGCACTGGTTGTTTTTTTTTTTCTTAATTTGAAAGATTAATACTAACTTCTGAACCAGAGAAAAATCAAGGATTAATCTGTCGATTAAGCAGCTGGAGGATGATCCTCTTATGGAGACATTGGATAAAGTAATTCCTCAGGTAAGTTATCAGTCTCTAGTTCAGACACTTTCTAGTTATTTGGGAATATTTTGGAACATTTTCTTATTTACTTGTCGATTATGCATATCCTCAGGAAGGTCAACTTGTGTCTGATAGTATCGATACATCTTCTAGTATGAACATCGAGCCTCTTCCAGGACTTGAGAGCATATGTAAAGAACTACTACAGGAGGATGGGTAATGCATATTTATGTAAATTTTAAGATCGAAGGATTTATGCCTTGTTTTAAAAAACTAGTATAAGCAATCTAGAATATATATGCAAAAATAAATTGTACTCTATCTCAGCAAACCTTGTTTACAGAAGATATCCTGAATGTCTGTCAAAATTGATTTTTAGTCATCTAGTAATCAGCATATGCCATTTGATGGTGCTCTTAAGAAATTGTGTTTTCTCATAACGTACATGACTTCTTAACATCTTCAGTGCTTTTCCACTTAAATAATATAGATTTTCATTATTTGTTCTCTTTTTTTTCCTAGATTAGATCAGATAGACATATTGTTGTGTTTTATCAAGCAAAATATAATTCAGAAATGAAATGGTCCAACACTTGGTTGATGACCCATCAAAAGTACCAATACTCAAGAAAAGACCTACACCAAATAGTATCTAACAATACACTTTTTTTGTCTATAATCAAAGTCCAATATTCAAGAGAGACAAAGTCCTTTTGTGAAGTGTTAAAAAATTATCACATATTGACAAGTGTCCCTTTTTTATTTTTCTGAATAGCAAAAGACTTAATGTTAGTAAAAGATGTTTATAGCTAAAAAGTATATTATGTTCCTGTTTGTAAAATTATGTTAACTTGATGATTATATTCTAGAATTTTATTATAAAGAAATAATAATTACCGTTTTTCTTTTATGATGTTATTAAGGAGAACGAAAGGATAAAAAAGGGACTCGTTGACATCCAAAGTTCTTTATGCTAATTTCTCAAATCCTGCACTTACTATGCAGCATAAGTGATGTACAATTAGGGCGTCAAGGATTGGAGAAGCGTGTTGTCTCACAAGACTTGCAGCTTTGGCTTTCAAATGTGAGACATCCCTTACTTTAGAAGAGTTAATACCTTATTTTTTTTCCCCAAGAACTGTCAGATGTTCCATTCTCCTTGCGTGTAGGTACCAGCCAAAGACAAGCAGTTTACACTCCTTGCTAGAGCTGGAAGACAGGTTAGTCAAACGGAACTTAAGTATTCCTATAGTTCACTTTGCCTCAAATGTGTACACTTGATTTTAGTGAAACCTGGCAATGGGTGATCAGCAATGTTTAGATGTAGGATCAAATGATATCTTGAAGAATAGTATCATACATCTCTCTTTTGTTTTGTATCTACTAAATTAAAAGGATTTTTTCGGTTGGTGTTAAGACACTAAGTGAAATATCTGCCTTTATGGTTTAACATGACCTGATTATTAAGAGAAAAAAAAAATTCATAAATTTTGTAGGAATCATAAATGTTAGAAGTCACATTCTGTAAGTGTTGGTGTAGGTGTGACTGTTTCTCATGTTTTTCCATTTGTGGATATTTTGATTGTGTTCCTAAGAAAGATTATAAATGACAATCTAAAGTATTTAGCAAAATGTTCTAGCATAATAGTTCAAGAATCCAGTTTCTTTCATCAAAATTTGTTTTAATCATTTCCTGTTATCTCACGAGTTCTGTAAAACTCAGTTTGTGCATCAAAGACCGAGTGAAAACCAATTGTTTGTTGTATAACAGGTCCAGGAGGTGTACTTGACAACTACACTTGATCAGGATGGCATAAAGAAGGCTGTGCAGCGTGTACTGGGTAGAGTACCTTGAGATTCAGGTCAAATTTATGATGATATAGATATGCATCTGTGTGCTCTGATGCAGTCGTCAAGTTCTTAATCATATGAAATAGTTCAATGTACACATGGTGGACAAACCAGTTTATATTGCTGGTTTTCTGCTTAATTATTTTTTTTTCCTCATTCAATTCTCAGAAGTGAGAATACATTTGAATGATTACAGAGATGAATATTATCTTTTAAGAATGCTGGTCTTTGGCACCCATCACAACAAAACCTGTTCACATTTTAAATATCTTTTCCGGTAATCATTGTTGATGTAATTGTTACATTAATGCACTATGAAGCAATTGCATAATTCTGGCTGTCAGAGCATTAGTATTTTCTGTAAATTTATCAAGCTTAATTTCTTTTCCATTTAGAAAATAAATTGTACATGTTCACTTATGAGGAATGATTTGATCTGACTTGGTTTCCATCTTATAACTTTTGCTTCCACTTGTTGCTAATATATGGCAAGGTTAATCCTTGAATATTAAAATTTATTATTGAAGATATGTATCTCAAAGAATGTCCTGTTCTTAAAATATGAGTGCTTAGAAATAATATTAGAAATGCTTGCAATTTTTTTCTTAGAAATGTTTTCAGTTAGTCTTCATCTAGCATGTGTTAGAAATGCTGATGATATTATAGCCAAACCTAAAGTAGAAGTATATCCAGAATTTAGAGGCATCATTACAGATAGATTTATATGCTATGACATGTAGCATTGATTAGCTGTAAATTATTTCCTTGCAAAAGGCATGTAGATTAGTCGAATGCATTGACATTAAAGAAAACTTCATACCTTTTCAAAGACAAGCCTAGTTATCTGTAGTTTCTATGTCTTTTACATGGAGTTTCTCATCATCCAGTAGAAGGCAATTAAGGAAGCTAAGGTCTAGCATGGGGGATAAAAGTCACTCAGAATAGCCAAGGAGACTGCCTGTAAGCCGATTGCATTTCCACCCAAATGAAAACCTCAAGGACACAGGCAAGTCATCCTTGGCTACCAAAGTACCACTCTTTTATCTCCATGTGAGACCCTGTCTTCAGGATCCAATCTCCTTGTGGTGGGATGGCCATTGATGGGTTTGCAATTTATAGAGATCAGATTTCTCTTCGTATGGCCTTTCCCAAAGGCTACAGTTGCTACATAGAATATTTGACATTAGACCTTTACTTGTAGCAAGATGTTTCTGACAGAAGTTGGCAGTGGAGAAATTCACAGAGAGAGAATAAAAGGAATGAGAATGAACAAGCTGACAGTATTATTCAGTGAACTTAGCACAAAGCATATTCACGAACCAAGTTTTCAAGGCCAAGTTGATCCTTCGAGTCATGAAAGGATGGAAGTTCTTCTAGGTTGACATCAAATCTCTACTTGTAGCAGCCAAGGTTGACAGTGGAGAAAATCTACAAAGAGAGGGTAAGAAGAATGAGAAAAAGCAAGATGAAGTTGTATTTATTCAGTGAATTCTGCACAAAGCATATTCATAGCGTGTTTCTGAAGTCAAGTTGATGTAGTGAGTCCTCTTTTCAGGACATGCATTGACAGCATGTTCGTTTTATTTGACATCAAACCTCTACTTGTTGCAAAATCTTCTTTGACAGATTTGACAATGGGAGAAAATCTACACGGGAGGATAAAAAAGAATGCTGAAAGTGTCCTTATTCGGTCAACTATGAAAAGGTCAACTTGATGCAGTGAGTACTCGATGAGGACATGCATTGACATCTTTTATTTGACATCAAGCCTTTTCTTGTAGCATGAACTATTTGACAGAGGTTGACAGTGGATAAAATCGACAAAGAGAATACAAGGACTGGAAAAGAACAAGATGAAGGTGCAGGTATTCAATGAATTTTTCACAAAACATGTTCATGAAACAAGTTATCAAGGTCAAGTTGATGCTTTGAGTTCTCTTTCAAGACATGCAACATGGAGGTATGGAACATCTTCTTATTTGACATCAAACCTTTGCATGCAGCATGATCCTTTTGACCTGGCTTGACAGTGGATAAAATTGGCAGAGAGGATAAAAGAGAATATGAGAAAGCACAAGCTGAAAGTGTATTTATTCAGTGATGCTGTGAATCTTCTTTGAGGACATGCATTGACAGCATGGATGGATGGAAGTTCTTTTCAATTGACCTCAAACCTCTTCTTGCATCATCATATTTTTTTTACAGAGCTTGACAGTGGAGAAAACCCAGAGAGAGGATAAAAGAACAACCTAAAAGTGTATGTATTCAGTGAACTCTGCAGATAGCATATTCATGAAGCAAGTTATCATTGGTCAGGTCGATGCAGTGAGTATTCTTTCAGGACATGCATCAACAACACGAAAGGATGAGAGTTCTTTTTATTTGACATCAAACATCTACTTGTAGGGAGATCTTTCTGACAAACTTTGACAGTGGAAAAATTCCATAACGAGGATAAAAGGACAGGAAAAGAACAAGCTGGAAGTGTATCATTCAGTGAATTCATGAAGCTTATCAAGATCAAGTTAAGTGTTATTTTGGGAAACGCAGCAGCAGTATTGAAGGATGGAGGTTCTTTTTCTTATTCTCATCACATACTTTTGGCATCTGACTTTTCTGAAACAAAAAAAGGATATTGAACAGATTGATGGTAATCAGATGCTCAAAGTGCTTTATCACCAGCATTGTTCCGTGCCAATATCATCATCAAGCCACTGCAAGGAGTCAGAAGGCTTTGACAAGCCTGCTAGTGTGGAGCATAAGGGAATAAGAATACCAAGGTGGGGAAGAGGAATGAGAATACCAAATCAAATGTAAATCCAATGTAGACCTGGATGTGGGTATCAGGAGATTTGCAAGGTCAAATCATCAGACATATATAGAAAATGGGAGAATATTTCATCGACTACGACTAAGACTACTGCAGAATCGATTTGACTGGAGGTACCCTACTCTGCACTTTATAGATGTTTATCTCTTCTTCAATCAATTACATTCATGTCTACATGAAAAATCAGATATGATTAGCTACGAGTGATAGTTACTGGTATGACATGTTACTACACGAGTGATAGCTACGAGGGATTGTGTCGCTTAGTATATTGTTGCATCACCTGGTACAAAGTCTCATGCCACCTGGTACAACATAGTATAGGTAAGTATACGGCATTCGATACATGAATATGGATCGATATATTATCAATTTAAGCCTTACTCAGAACATTATTATTACCATTACAATAATAATAAAATCATAAATACTAACTATTTAGTATCACCTATATAGATCTTTTGTTATTAAAAGATCATATATTTAATTAAGTTTAAAATATTTTTATTTTTTTATAATTTTTATTAAATTTTTTTAATATTTTTTAATCTTCTTATACCACTAATATTAATCATTTCACATCTTTTAATTATTATATTTGTAGGTATATTAAACATATATCTATACCATCTTAAATAATTTTTTTTATTCTATCTTCGATCAAGGCAATAATCAGTTATTCATAAATATAATTATTTCATTTCCTATCTTCGGTAGTAACTTTATGTATCTATCTCAATATTTTTATTTTAGTAACATAAACTTTTTTTATATATGTTGTTTCCTAACTACTTGATACTTAAATCCATAAACTATTGCTGATCTAATAATTATCTTTCGAAAATTTTATTTTGTATCTCAAAACTATCGTGATGACATATGATTTTTGACACTCCTTGTCATTTTAATCATCTTATTTTTATTCTATGAATAATATCTTCATCAATCTCTTAATTTTTTTTTAAATAATTGATATAAGAATCTTAAAGCTTTTACTTGAAATAAATTTTTGCGTACCCAACTTAACTATATTCTTCTATCTATTCATAACATTGCTAAAATTACATCTTACATATTTAGTTTTTATCGTACTTAAGACCTTTAATTTCTAAGAATTATCTCTATAACTCAAGTTTATAATTAATTTCATTTAGATTCTCATCAACTAAGATAATATCATCAGTAAATAATATACATTAAGGATGTCTATCTTATAATTGACTAGCAAGTACATCCATTATCGATGTGAAAACATAAAAAAACATAATTCTTTAATGTAATTTTATTGTAATAAAAAACTATACTAGATACACTCCCTATTCTAATACTACTATATATTTTTTATATCTTCTAATTTTCTCTATATGGCTATAATATATGTGAAGTCTTTTGTATATACCATTTGTATTGGTATCCATCCAATCAACATTGGTGTCTTATTAATAATCATGACTATCAATGATTATTTTGAATATATATATATATATATATATATATATATATATATATATATATATATATATATATATTGAAATACATAAAATTCCTTTATATTCTCAACCATTATTTATTGCCTTTTCTTTTTCTTCACTTCTTTGTCTCACTTTTCATTCACCATGATTTGATATTAAAATAGAAAGATATTTTAAGGAACACAAAGTTGAGGATTGACATGATTACATAGCCATGCTATAGCCAAAATGGTTAAGCAGCATCAAAAAAAGAAAAAGAAATCAGGAAGAATAATGTCAATGTGGTACCTTCTTCTCCAACCTTAAAAGCGATTTCTAGAACAATAGGTGGCTCCATCTTATTGAAGATCTTAAGAATTTCTAAAGTTCAAATTAAATGATGATACTCCAGAATAACAACAAAATCATAATATCTCAACTATTTAATCCGAGATCCATAAAATGGTCACATATCTCACTAATGTACAAAAATAATACTTTTAGTACCACAAATGACATTTCTTGGACAACAGTGTTATTGGTAGAAAGTGTTCCTTTTGCAAAAGATAGCAAGTCTTCGGCAAAGCAGAACATCCAGGCAATGTTTCAGAACAAGACTCCAAAGACAAGTTTACCATTTCTCACAAAAGCCACCTTAAATCATTATCCACTTCATAAAGAAATACACACTATGATCATACAATCTACCTCATCATGTCAACAAAATCTGCTGTTACTATGGCAAAGAGAGTACAAATCCTTTGCTGAAGTAGTTTTTCCTTACGATAATAAGATTAGATATGGAAACAATATTACAATGACAAAGTTGTGTTGCCAAAGAAACAAGATCAAAAGTTTCAATTAGTTGATTCTCCTACTGCTGGAAGCCGAGGAACTACAACTGGTCCACCACGAACCTTGTCGATAGCAAAGCTTATTCTCAACGGCCGACCTAAGAATGCCTGAAAACAAGTAAGTGTTCAGAAGTTGCAAATGTTGCTTCTTGTATATATTTTATATATTATATGGTTTATGTCCTCTGTCAACTCAATTTATTGAACTGAAGCAATCACTCCTCTTACCTTTCCATCCATGGCAAATTTAGCGCATTTAGCTGCATCATCCGATGCAAAATGGATGAATCCAAACCCTCTTGACCTTCCAGTGTTCTTGTCATACATGATCCTCACTGAAACAAACAGGCAATAAACATGCAATTTCACATAAGTTGTCTGAAGCAATAATAGTCTATATTTTTTCAAAAATAAACAGTAATATTTTTTTATAAACTTTTTTCAAAAATCAGGGAGAAATATTAATCATACAAAGTAATCATATTTTGAAACAGAATCAAGGAGGTTTTCTTCAATGAACTATGATGATATACATATCAGCAACAGAAAGAAAAACAAAAAGTCAATATTTACAATGACAACAATAATTAGAAAATGTTAATGTTCCGACTGTTTGGGATCAGCTACATGAATTTTTGCTCATCATCGAGTACTTTTACAAGGTGATATCTTCAATTAAATTGGAAGCATTCAGATATCTCTATTTTTATATAGTTTAGCATAAAGCCTTCTAAGTCTTTGCTGTTCTCTTTTCTATCAGTAACATTAATTGTCTCATCTTATTTAATCATAATATTTAAATATTCTTATAATAATATTTATGCAATCTTAGATGATTTTTTCTTTTTTTTTCTTTTATATGAGTTACACCTAATTATTCATAATAAAAATATTTTTAATAAAAATATTTTTTCTATATTTCATAATAACTTCATACATCTATCTTGGCATTTTCATCTCAACTACAGGAACATTTTATATACGTTGTTTCTTAATCACCCAACACTTCAACTCTAAAGTATGCTAGGAAATTGCCTTATAAATATTTTCTTCTAAATCTAAAGGGCATTGGATGGATAAACAAAATTCTCAACACTATTCTCCATTTCAATTCACTTATCTTTTACTCTATGAACAAAATCCATCCCGATAAATAATAGATTCAAGATACCTACATTTTTTCCTTAGAAGAACTTCTTATCCGTTCATCCTCTCAGTTTTTCTCTTGTTTTTCCTAAAACTACACCTCATATGTTTAGTCTTAATTTTACTTAATCTAAGACCTTAAATTTAAATGTTTGCCATCATCACTCAAGTTTAAAATTGATTTTGTTTACAACTTTTATCAATCAAAATAATATCATCGCTGAACAACATATACCAAGGGGTTGTATCTTGCACCTGACCGGTAAACTCATCCATTACAAATGTTACATAGGTAAGGATAGCAAAGCTTGTATTTCTGATATATAAAGTATTCAAATAAGATGCAATTACATTAGGAATTCTATGTGCAAGTTTGAGCATCATATTTTGCATGTTTGCTCCAATCTTCTACAGAGGATGTCAGGTTGTCAACTTTTGTAGCATAGTCACAAAGAAATCTATCAACAAGGAAGAAGAGACGGGGAAATAATAGCTCGTTTCATCACAAAAATCACAAATTCAAATTTGAATAAACATCAAGCTTGATAGTGCAGATGCCTTTATGTAATCAGATGAGTCTCTCAAATAAGAAGCCATCTTCTTAACATTCAAGTTGCGGGAACAAAAAGAAGTATACCTAAAAGTTACCTCAATATGGACTGTTTTGATGACAGTGACAACACACTCCTTTGATTAGTGACTTCTAGAGACAAAACAGCAGAAAAAATTGAAATTATAAGTTACACTACGTCCATGCCACCTATGACTACTTGAGCTCACACTCAATGAACCCAAGCTTGGACACTCAACTCTTTAGCTTCCGATCTCAACTCAGATGCCACAAATCTTTTCTTTTGCTCTATTGAATGAATCACAATAAGAAAAAAGATGCATTAAATTGGGTCTCAGAAAACCTGAGATGGCAACTCACTTATTATTCCATTTTGTCATATCACAATTCTTGATTCATACTTCTTTGATCACTTTGTGCTGGTCTAATTACTCTAAAATAGCAGTAATCTCTGAGACAATTCACCAAACAACTATCATGCAAGATGGTAATGACCCCAGGATCCAACGCAATCACCAAGCATCACAAGATCGATCACTCTTTCTGCATAGAATTTAGTGACTGAGTCTTTCCAACTAGGGGAACAAGAAGATCAAACACTAGTATCATCACTATTCTTCCAAGATGCGACATTCACGAGCACATTACAAACTAAAACAGAGAGAAGGGAGTGAAAACGCGCACCTTCGGTGACATCTCCAAAGGAAGAGAAGGCATCCTTGAGAGACATCTCATCCACAGACCACGACAGACCTTGATCCAATCCAAAGCAAAGGAATCATCATGAACTGCAACAAACACACACAAGAAGGTGAAGCCAAAAGAGTTAAACCCACTCAAACCTCCCACAAACAATTTCGAATTGGAAGGCGGCGGAGGCGGCGGCGGAGCGCAGTGGAATCGCGGCTGCGGCAAGCTCGAGGGTCGAGCGAGCCTCCACCTACTCACCAAATGCCTCATTCCTCTTCTCCTCTTTCTCTTCACGTCGACTAAGAATGGATCGTTATAGAGCAAGTGCCAATCGCTATCCCACCCATAGGTTTCGTACTCGTAGATATACTTTCCTTATTATTGGTATATATGAGAGGTCCACTGTGGGACCCGCTTACATAGCGACAATTCTCCAATAAAAGGGAAGGTAGGCAGCTGCGGTGTTCCCCGGTGACGACGAACGTATCATCACAGAGCAAGTGCCAATCCTTATCGCACCCCTGTATCATTTAACCGTTCGGTTACCTTTCTTGTGATTAGATGATATGGCATTCTCGGGGGACCCACTTAACATGCCCCTCCATTGTCCAATAAAAGGGAGGGTAGCGAAACGTCGTTTTTGCTGGGTTGTGGGTGAATGAAGAGGTCTCGTTCTGTGATCTCTCGGCTCGTCGCGCACGCTGCTGCGTCCCCCTCGCCGCCCCCAACCGATGCATCTCATCTCGACGCCCTCCGCCTCTTCCGCCGTGCGCACCGCCGGGGCGCCCCCCTCGCCGCTGACGCGTTCCCGCCCCTCCTCTCCGCTTGCCGCTCCTTCCCCTCCCTCGGCCGCCAAGCCCACGCGCTCATGGTCAAGTCCGCAGCCGACCTCGACCCCGTCCCCGCCACCGCCCTGCTCGACGTGTACTCCAGGTGCGGCCTCCTCCGCTACGCCCTCGACGTGTTCGACGGAATGCCCGTCCGGGACTCGATCGCGTGGAACGCCTTCATCTCCTGCCTCGTCCGGCACGGCCTCCCCGCAGACGCCATCTCGGCCTTCCGCGCCATGGCGGTGGATGGAGGGTCTCCGTTCACCGGCTTCACTTTGTGTTCTGTGCTGAAAGCCTGCGCGTCCATGCGTGCGGTTCGGCTTGGCAAGCAGATCCACGCTCGGGTGATTGGCGACGGCAATGACTCCCTCGTCATGGCCACAGCGCTTATCGACTTCTATTCTGGTTGCGGAATGATTCAGGAGGCGTTCGACGTGTTCAACAGATTGAATCGCGAGAAAGATGTCGCAATCTACAACGCCTTAATCAGCGCGTGCTTCCAGAACAGGCGATTCAAGGAGGCCTTCTCGGTGTTAGGACTCGTGAGGCCCAACGAGATCACCCTTACTTGTGCTCTTTCTGCATGCTCGGACTGTTTGAGCTTGTCCTACGGAAAGCAAGTGCACTGTGTGATGGTCCGCCATGGATTCGATTCAGATACGACCTTGTGTAACGCCATCGTCGATATGTATGCCAAGTGCGGGGAGCTAACATCAGGGCGAATATCTTTTGAACAGATTCATCGCAAGAACGTTGTTTCTTGGACAACCATGATTTCGGCCTATGGAAGCCATGGGCGTGGTGTTGAAGCTTGGAAGTTGTTTAAGAGGATGCAAGAAGAAGAAATAAGCGGTCATGTTTCACCAAATGCTGTGACATTCCTTTCGGTTCTCTCGGCCTGCAGCCATTCGGGACTGGTGGATGAGGGGCGAGAGTGCTTGTTTGCAATGCAGAGCAAGCATGGCATAGATCCTGGGCCTGAGCATTATGCTTGTTTCATCTACCTGTTAAGTGGTGCAGGTAGGATCGAGGAGGCATGGAAATTCTACTGTGATCTAATTTTGAATCCAGATAATCTGACCAGTGCAGTCTGTATAGCTATGCTGAATGCTTGCAAAGCCAACATGGATTTGAAGAGAGGTGAGCAGATGGCAAGGCATCTTCTTTCGCTGGATCCTGATAATCCTGGAAGTTATGTACTGCTGGCAAACTTTTATGCAGCTTGTGGACAGTGGGAGGGGGCAGAGTACTTGAGAAGAATGATGAAGGACAGAGGGTTGAAGAAGGAGGCAGGTAACAGCCAGCTTGAGTTACCTGTTGCAATTGAAATCTGATGCTGCCTGAGCTACTGAGTGGAAATCAGGTTAGTTTTCTTAGTCAGAGATTATCTCTTTTTGATAAAAAGCTTCATACTTTTGATGATATCAACTGGATAAAAAGCAATTATACATCAAATCATATCGTTAGTGTCCTTCAATTCTTTAGCTGAATTAATATCCAAGGCACAAGGTGTAGGCCAATATGGTAGTTGAGAGATGCATCAAAGATAAAAGTTACGCTAATATTCGGAAGGTGTCGAACAAACCGATGGTGCCAAGGTGGTGGGAGGTGATCTTGTAAAGCCTGGATTAGTTTAGAGTTATATGTGTGTGAAACAAATTCAAAGATGCTTTTTCTAAAATGTCATTCAAAGTTCAGAAGTTCAAGAAACTTTGGTTTTGAACTCTCAAAATGATGAGATAGGAAACAAATAACTAATAAATATTCTCATATGGTACAGAACTTAAGTTTGAACTTGATCATAGTACTAATGAAGGAACAGGATAAACTATAATATTTGAAATGGAGTATAAATTTAATGTCAAGACACATCAACCAAATTTTATAGGAGCTGAGGTGATTAAAATCATAACAAAAGAACAGGGGGACATGCATAGAGAAGCAAAAAAGAAAAGAGAATTTGCTGCACTCTCGGATGGATCAAGAATTCAGATGAGAGAGGGGGCTGACTGTGATATAACATAAAGATGATATATCCTAAGAGTTAGAGCAACAAGTTTTCTTCCAAATGATTGCATGGCAACTTCACTTGTTTGATATTTGGCTAGAGAGTTTGAAGAACCATTTACACATCATATTTGTTGCTTTCTGGACCTATTTAGTTATGCACATAGAGGATCTATTGTTGTATGAAAAGATCACTGATGATAACTTTACTAGTTTTGTAAGTCTAAGGGTTACGTATATATCATCAAACTCAAGTATATCTCAAGTATTTCAGATTCTACAAGCTCAAAGGTCCTATTCACTTCAAGACGATGCACCAAATTTTATAAGTTTAAAGATATATAAAGCACCCGTGTACAGTCAATATGATAGTTTCTCATTGTAGAGAACTGGAAAAATAACTACTGTTTTTGGATGAGTACATATTTCATGGTAAAACATCTGGTATTTGATTACAGAGTTACTATCAATCATTCTCTTCACATGCTGCCATCGTCTTTATTACTAAATGGTCTCTTCTACTTTGTTGGCATTTAATGCAAATTTTTTTATTCATGTTCAAATTCTTATTATAATCACTAATATATAGGTTTAATAAAAGTTTCTGTTGAACTTGCCTGCCCCATCTCTCTCCTCTCTCCTTTTCCTTCTCCTTTGCTGCATGGCTCTCTTCGTTCCTTTCAACCTTGTTTCCCTGATATTTCTGTTTTATAGATCACTATCACTTGATATATGCAGGCGTCTGGATGCTAATTAGCTTGCTATTATGTCATTGCAAGTGGATTACATACCCTTTTAGAGGTGAGCTTTATGTTTGAATTGCCATCCTAACCTCAACCAAGCACCATTTTTTGAGGTGAGATTAAGATGACCAGTGGTTTACTTACAATGTGAAAGAAAGCTTTGAGAAGCGAACTGAAAAAGAAGCTTTGAGAAGTGAAGTGAAAAGTCTCTTTCTAAATGGGCAAATCCAGAGCACGAGGCTCCCTTTTCGATGTGATACCTGGCGAGAGTCAACATATGCAGCTTAGCTCTATATTTAGAGAGACGGTTTCCAAGTCTTGAACCCTGATCTTTTAGGTTGCAAAGAAGCAACCTCACCAGTGTACTAAGGCTCACCTTCAAAAAGAGGTCTCATTCTATCCATCATCTGTGAGAGATTGTCAGGTAAATTTGTTAGACATCTTAATCAACTCCATTCACACTCTTACATTTAATGTGTTTATAAGGCTGACCACTCCTCTACTCAGCAGATACTAAGAGGAAGGCTACCGACATATTTATCCTCTAATGCCAAATGGTGATGTGGAGATATCTACTGTCTTCTTCCATGCTTGTTGCCAATCCATGCCACACTCTTTGATTTCTCCGGGTTGTCATCTTCTCTGCTCCTTAAGATAAAGAAATGTTTTTAAAGTCTTCCAGTTTGGAAATAAAGCAACTAGGGCAAGTTATTAAATCTCATTACCTTTTTCTCATTGTGAATTTGCATTAGTTATTTCATTTCAGAGATTGATATCAAGATACTCAATCGACAGTGTATCTGTGTAAAATGATCTTATCTAGGGGTGTTACAGGACAATATCATTTTATGATGTTTTCTTAGCCTTTTAATTTCCATTTTTAGAATGAAATTAGAAATTAGGTGGTAGAAAAGACTTGTATTTCCTAGGAGCACAGCAACATAACATACTGACTCTCTATAAATCAGCAAGATTGATTTCATTATACTTGAGATTCACATCAGTCTAGGAATATTAGTTGTTATATTTCTAGATAATTAGAGTAGGCAACTACTCAATTATGGGTTGAGTAGGATGGTAACATATAATATATTAGCAAATTTACAGACAGCTCAAAGACTTAAGTTATTTCTCTATAACTAGCAAAAAATTATTCTTGAATGTAAGTTGCATGCTAATATCGGGTTCATTATTGGATAATTAATCTCTGCAAGATTGAGTTTGATGTTTGAAAAGACTTGTACTTCCTAAGAGCATAACTAGCTAAAATCATGCTTCTCTGTAATTCAGCAATACTGATTCCATTGTCTGTAAGATTCCGACTACTCTAGGAAATATTAGTTCTTCTATTTCTAGATAATTAGAATAGGATGAGAACATATAATATTTTAGCAAACTTCCAAATAGCTCAAAGCATTTAATCATTAGATACATGCCTTAATTTTTCATAACTAGCAAAAGTACACTCTTGAATATAAGTTGCATGCTATATATATATATATATATATATATATATATATGCATGATTGCATCATCGATCACACGAAAAGTAAACAATTTAAGGATCCTTTAATTTCTATTTGTTTGCATTACTCCTATTCTTGCTTACTCATGTGCGAAATTAATTTTCTGCTCTTTTGGTTATATGCAATTGTGAATGTTAGAAATGATGTTAATGAAAGATGTCAATATGGTTTGATCGATGTAAGACATCTTAGTGATTGATTGCTACATGTATTTTTAGTAATGTAGTTGCTGGGGCATGATTAAATTGTCGATTTGTGGGTTATTCTCAGTTTAATTTTTTTTACATCATCCAAAGTTTATGATTGATTTTTTTTTTTATTTCAGGGGGTCTCAACGAGTTAAATGGAATCAAACAAGCTCAAAAAAAATTTTGACGACTGCATCGATCCAAATGTAAGGAGGATGATGATGAGGAGGTTCATCATCTGTTATCACTGGTGCGAATACTCTGTTCGTATCATAAAGATGATTTTATTCGCATGATGAATGTAAAGTATTTCTTATGAAAGAATTCTTATTATTTGCCATAGTTGACTAAGCCAAAAATTACTTATTTCTTTTGTCTTTAAAGAAGGCATCAATAATATCTTAAGACTTTCTTTTCTAATAATAATTCACATACAAATAAGATATTTTTTTGGGATTTTTTTTCATTTATATCTGTTTGAGGTTTTGAAATGATATATTTACCCTTATAAATTTTGGTCTTACAGATTTTTTAACATTATTAAGATAACATTCAGAGAAAAAAAAAAGTCAATTGTGTGACTAACTATAGTCAACCTTAGTTAATTTAAGTTAAAAGGATAGATACTAAGGTACATAACATATTCCTAATATTTTTTTATACTCTTATAATTCTTAGAAAATTAAATGTCATTTATAATTTTAATTAATAGCATCCCATAAAAATTATCATCAATGGCGTATATGCAAGTTTTTAGGGTTTGCATAAGAGGGAACTACAAAAATAAGAACAAGGATTTCAACCCTCGGCACGTGAACAAAGGATCTAAAAGCAAGACATCATGATGATAATAACGACGATCGTACAACAAAAGCTTCAGAAGAAAGTAACAAGCAAGAAGGGTAACAATACATCATGATGATAATAACGAAGATCGTACATCATGATGACAATACAGCAAAATTAACAATGACGACGAAGTATAAGAAGGATAGAGGACAATCTTGTGGGAAGCTAAAACTCCGTTGCTTAATCCTAATTATAAATGGGAAGATTCACCCTTCTTTTGATTACATCTTGTAGCATCACTTGGCATCATTAGACTCCACTTGGGGGAGATAACTGTCACAGAGGTGAAATGGCTTCAGAAGCAGTAGCACGAATGGCAATAATAGAGAGAGAGAGAGAGAACAATCAAGTCCAAAGACATAACTCTATCCTTAACACTGGTTATAAATGGAGATATCCTTCCTTCCTTCTGTTTTCATTGCTCCTCTTGGCAACATTAAACCCTACCTGGAAGATGCAATTGTCATATAGGATGAAAAGGTATCAGGTGTATGAAACATCACAACACATGGTGAGGATTTAAACCCTCCATGGCTACAAAACAAAGAAATACCTAAATGAACATGACTCAATAGGACCGGACATGATGGCACTACTAATTCCTTGCTTCTATCTGTATTTGAACAACAAGCAAGATGCACCAATTTTTCGAAGAAAAAATCGCTTATAGCACATTGCATATTAATCTTCGAAAAGATAGATGTATTACCATCTTTGATGATTTGGATTGTCCTTCGAGAATACAGGAAATCAAAGTCCAGGAGATAATAAATCAGTAATGTAATGCATGTTTCAATCTCTGTCTAGACTAAGATTACGATGCATCGGATTCATTGGCACAAAGTCCTACTTCTTGATTCTTGTATCATTTGCATGATCAAGAACAAAGCCTCTTCTTCAGAAATTGCCATTTGTGCAAGTGCACTGACATTTCTCAATCCACTAATATATTTTATTTTTTGTTCTTCTCCATCACTGAAGAGATGAAAAATCGAAGAATACATGAAGCAATCAAGGACATGATAGTTCCATTTCAGTGCTTTTTACTGGCAAGGCTTCTTAGAAGAACTGACAGTGAGACTATGCGAGTAAAATAACAGCATAGGATTAGCTACATTGGGACACACACTATACATAGGATTAGCTACATTGCGAGTAAAATAACTATGATGATCTAATTAGAATTTTGAATCTTCAAATAGCAGATATCATGACATAAACTAAATTATACTAGACTATAACTATGTCCAACCAGAAATGGGACACACACTCGAAACTTATTGCAATTCAGTCATCTAGATCATGACACAAGAATTAGCTACATTGGTAAGATTCTCAACAATCTTAACAAATATATATATATATATATATATATAT